TGACGCTGCAAGACCATGCTCACGGCAAAGGGCAACAGCATCAGGCTCATCTGCCAAGACAAAAGTAACCCTTGCCAGAACACGTACAAGTCCTTCAAGGAATGGTGTTACAAAGCGGGTGCCCCTAATCTCTCCTTGCCTGATCTTGATGACTCTAGAGATGATCAACTGAAAAGCACCTTCATCTAGCATTTGCCGTGTAAGGCCCAAATCCCTCTCTGGGAGTTCAGCTAAGAGGCCAGCAGCTGCTGCCTGTTCTTCAGAATATCCTGTATTTTCTGATATGACTCTAATTAGGCTACTGAGCTGGCCAACTGTGCCACGTAGTGCATCTGCTAATTCCTGACCCATGTAGGGGGAAAGGTTCTGGAGAAGTTTTATGGCTGCCATACGCAAATCCTTCTGGGGAATCTCAATAAACTGGACCAAACTAATGGTAGCCCCAGAGCTTTTAATCGCAGCAACAACATTCAGAACCGTTGTCGGAGAACTAGTGAGTCCAACAAGAACTTGAAGAAGTTTGCACTCAATTGGTGGACCAGTGTTGCTGATTAGATGCAGTAAGTTATGGACATTGTCTTCTGAAACAAGAGTCTCATTGTCCGGCCCAATAGGGATGGAGTCTACGTCATATCCTGAGTTTACCACATTGGCTAGAATTGTGGCTGAGACCTCTTTCAGTCGCATGGGAAGCTGATTGGCACCAACAGTGAAGAGGTCCTTGACAAGAGGAGGAAGTATTCCTGCCTCAATCAACACCTTGGAGCTTGCCTCATAAGATGAAATTTGGTTAAGAGCCTTCAAAGCAGCTTCTCTTGATTGCATGCTACCACTTTTCATGATATCGATTAGAGATGCACCTACAGTTCTTGCAACATGGACTTTCACATCATTATTCAAAACGAACTCACCAAGATATGCAGCCATGGAAAGCTTTGTTTCTGGTGGGCCTGCAGTAACACCGTATACATGATTAGGAAGGAAATTGCAGAGGTCAAACAAGAAGGACTACCAGCTCAGGACAAAAACAAAATCCTGCTCCCTGGTGTCAGCCAATTGGGAAGATTACTATTGCTAGTACTAAGAAGCAGCTGAAATTTACTACAAATATGAAATATCCCCTGAACTAGAGAGGCCAAGGTTTTGCAGGGATAGACAACATAGTGAATGTTGAAAAAGTTCAATTTAAGCTAACACCAAAAACCAATTTAGAAAGTCATTTAGCATTTCAGCCAAAGCAACATACTTGGTTTAGTATATGAAAATATTCAAACTATAGTTGTCAGGAGCTGGACAGATATTTTCACAAATTCATTATTTAAAATGTAAAAAAAATTAAAAAATAAAATGGAAAAGATTCCTCAAAAGCAGGCAAATATTTCATCCCAGAGTTAGGAGCAAAGAAAGAACTAGCAAGTTCAGTGTCAGGAGAAATGAATTAAGGACTATGTATTGACAGTAGAGGTATAAATTGATTTTTTGAATTCTTTTTTTTTCTTTAATATCAGCTTATGAAAGCAATCACTATTAAATAAAAAGATCTAAAGTCAACAGACATATAGCACACCGATGAGCATGTTAGCAGGATACTATAAAAAAGGGAACATAAAATTTACAATGAAACAAAGACAAAGCCAAAAGTAAATGACTGCACACAACAAACGATGGAGGACCAGTAAACTTGCAACAAGTTAGGAAAAGCATAAAATATCAAGAAAAGAGAGAAACACCTTCAAGAATCTGGGTCAAAAGAGGCTGCAGTCTACCATTTTCAGCCATCTGTCTGACATTGTTCTCACACTTTTCCAGATTTCCTAGAGTTTTATCAGCTTTCTCAACAGTCAAAACATTCTCAGATTTGCTGCTTGTCATTCCAACTAATATAAGAATTGCTCCATTAATAGAACCAATCTTCTCACACAAGGCTTCAGATTTTGAAAGTTCATATAGCAAAGAGACAGCCTCCTCCCTCTCCTTGGACTGTTCATGGGACAGGAACTTAACTATTGTACGCACAGTGTCCCCCTCAGCCAATATTGCCTGAAAAAGAATGCATAAATATTTAATAATCCAGTCCCAGATGCATACATGACAATGGTGTCACTGTCACTGTACAGGAAAACATAAAACCTAGAACAACCTTATTTTCTGCATCTTCCTCGACCACTACTAGGAGCGTCTCCAATGCTCTGCATCGAACTTTACGGCTGCCACTCTTTAGCATGTCAACAATCAGAGGTATTAGATCAGCATTGCGTACAACATGTTTGTTGGATCGATTTTTTTGGCAGATATGTTGGATGAACTTCAGAGACAGCAGAACATCATTTTCTGAACTGCCCATATTTAATGATCTACGAGCCATATCAAGCTGGGCAGCTTCATTCCTAGTAGTCCACTCCTCAATGGTGTTCCGCAAAGCAATACTAGGTTTTAGATCTATGCTTCGTAGTTCTTTTATGGTCACTGGGCAAATCAGCTTCCTTCCATTTTCCTTGCATTCTTTGAACCACTTTTCAATTGCTTCACGTTCAAATGTTTGCCCATTTTCTAGTGTCACAGGGTCACACATAACTTGCTTTGTCAAAGGGCAAACAAATGCGTCATAAATGGGCTCTATGTGCAGTCTCTCGAAATGATGGCTATCATCTGACTGGCTGCCAGGGTCGTAACTTCTGTCCCAGCTCCCAGCCATCCGACTAATAGTCACTGCAAAAAATGTAAGCTTACTTAATTGAAAACCCACTTAATAAAACTTGCACCATTAATAGAGACAATAGTAATTGCAATAGCCAATGAGATAACAATTGTGAGAAGGAAGCCAGAAGACTATTAAAAACAGCACAGGCAAAGTTCAAGGGTTCAACTATGCTTTGATATATAAAGGAGAGTACAATACACATGATTCCATTTTCACGCTCCTTTAGCTTGCCAAGGTGATGCACAAGACTAGGGAAATTTAAAATTAACAACCACACATGGTTGCAGTAGGATTAAGAAGCCAACTTATATTTCTCTAGACTCATGGAAATAAAGCATTACAGAACACCATCGATGCATGAAAAATGGAACACTTTCAAAAAGAGATCTCATCGCAATCCAAAAGCATAGTTTACGAATCTAAATTAAGTGAGTCAGGTGAGCATCGGATTTAGATTATAATCCAATTGCAAGCTATGAAAGTCTTGAAATCGAAGAAACTCAGCAGCAAATACCCAACCAAAATACTAAATTTTAGATTCGAAAGAAGCAACTTCTCGTCCATGCAACTCACAGCTGATAAAAAGGAGAAAGAATTGAAACAAGAATAAGAGGTAAAAATCATACCCTGGAGATTTCGAAGAGAGACAAAAGGACTATGACGAAAAGCCCAGGCAAACCCCTAGTTCTAGTTTAAAGATTCCCAGAAAAACTCTTGTCGGATTACAGGAGCCAGGTAGATTCTTCCCATATGTTCTTTTACTTCCATGAAATGATTAAAAATCCCAACTTTTGAAGGAATTCGATTTAGGGTTTGCTTCTTGCTGTTCGAACGAAGTGATGATGGGTTTTTGGAATAGGAAAAGGGCCGAGAGAGAGAGAGAGAGAGAGGACAACAAAGGGAATGGGAACAAACAATAGAAGCAGTGGAGAAAATTAAATTAAAGGAAAAAAAACGTGATTTGAAAACAATCACATAAGAGTCGGCAGCTGGAAGAGAGAAAAAGTTGACTCCAAACGTATAGTCATCAGCCAGAGAGAGAGAGAGAGAGTGACGAAAGAGAGAGAGAGAAAGTGTGTGTTTGGAGGCACCAACTCATCGTTCAACCTCCGGTGACCCCACGCAAAGCTTCAACAAACATGAAATATATTTTCTCTTTTCTTTTTCCTTATTGGCTTATTTATAAAATATCACTGCTGCAACAGCAACAGCAGCCAGGAGGAAACGGAACCGGCCGATGCCGGTTAACAAAGAAAAGAAATGGCGGGCTGCTTCAAACCGCTGCCTTTGCCACATTCCAACGTCAATCTATCAGGAGGTCACCATAAATTTCCATTTCATAGTTGGGACAGTTGGATTTGGCCTTTGAGTTGACAGACAAACTCAAATTCAAAAGGGTACTAAGTCAAAAATTTCAATGTTTAGTTACTTCAATTTGGGTAAACCACACGGTTTTAGCTTAAGACTTGGACCCCATGATCTTAGATGAAGACCGTATGAATACTTGGTCCTGGTCCCCAAACCAGTCCAAAAACTGAAATTTCACTATGAAAATTACAGCTTTTTACTTTCCCAGAACAAGTCAAAGATTCTGAATTATCCCCACATACAAAAAATCATCCTGAATGAATGTGGAAACCATGCATTGCTAGCTTGGCTAGAACCATGTTTCCCAGAATAAGGGAAGGTGTCTAGATTATGTTAAGTCATTGGGTTATGGCTTATGCCTGTAACTCATCGTGCTGTTCATATTGGATTTGAAACTTTGAAGCCATAAGTGTTAAAACTTGAACCATCCTCTTATTGCAAAAATCAAAACTTGAAGCCAGACTGCCAGAGGATGGTGACTAGGAGTTTGTTCATTTTGTTCTTGACAAGGCTGAAAATTTCTTGGAAACATTTTTCCTAACCTTTACGAGCCCGAATGATTCAAAACTCCATGTCTCCCCACATCAAATACAATTGTTCTACTGATCTTGACATTATGTTGTAGTAAATTTATAGCCTTCGATGTTTTCACCTGGAAGGAAAAATAAGATTTGAAATCCTATTAATCCCTCTACTCTTGACACCATTAGTTTGACTGTCTCTTCAAACTTTAGTCTTCATTCCTTTCAGTATTTTCCGGCTAGAAAATACATAGAGCCCGATCATTTGGGTTTTAAGCCCAATATTTTTCTTGGATTGTAACCCAAAAGTGGAAAATTGTGAATGATTCCAAAATCTTTGGAGGGCCTCTACTTTCTTGTTGTAAAAGAACGATGAGTTCCAGGGGATCCATGTAGTTTTCCTTGGGTTAGATTTAAAAAGACCAATGAGTGGCACTGGCCCAGCTGCCAAGGCGATCTTGGGTTGCAATCCAACCTCGATGCGATTTGAGTGCCAAGTTGGGACTGGTCAGGGGTTGGGACTTAGGACAAGTGCAAGAAGGAAGAAGGATACGGAAGTGTGTTTGGAAGATGGAAGTCGAACAGGAAAAGCCAAGCCTGGAGAACGTAGAAGCACGACAACAGGAAAAACAACGAGGAGAAGAAGTAGTGGTAGTCGAAGAAGAGGAAGAACAGCAACAAGGAGTAGAGGAAGGAGAAGAGAATGCAAATGTCTTGCAATTTATGGATTCCATGGACGCTTATCTGACCCTTAGTCATTCTTTATCTTCGACACTTCGCCAGGTAAAAGATTGTTCCTTTTTTCTTTTCTGAGTCTTAGTATTAGATCTAAATTGCTTCCATCAGTTTAGTTTGTGTTTATGGTATTCGATTTGGATCGATGAATGATAGAATTTTAACTTAATTGGTTCTTGTTCATTCTTCAGTTGTCAGAAATGCTTTGACAATGAAAATGCTAGTTTTTGTTCATGTAATATGAGTTGGGTTTGTTACCAAAGTGAATAAAAATGATTGTTTTTTCCACTTGTAGTCCCTGTTTATGTCGGCTTAGCATTGATCTTTTCTAGTATTGTTTTTTCTACAAATTTTTCTTATAGGATTTTAGTAAGTGAAGTAATCAATGTACCAAATACAGGGATGGCTGGAACTAGCGAGTGCTCGGCATTCGATGGGTGCTTCACGTGTCAACACTGTCTTGTTGGACCACAAATTTCATCCTGCTGCTACAACATTGCTTGTAACCCGGGATGAGGGAAAAGGTATTTATCAGTTTATCTACAAAAGCAATCAGACTGACATTATCCGTCATAGTGAATTCTTATGACAAGCAGAAAATTTCCTGTGACGAACGACCTTTGCAAAATAGACTGGAGAAGGTTATATTGTAGCAATGGACATGCATGATTATTCTAGTGGCAGTTGGATGTGGAATACAGCAGGTTTTGGGAACTCGTATGAGAATACTGAAGAATATTGTATTTGGTTTTAGACAGCTAGGTCTAAAGCCACTTGTTACATAATTCTCATTCATATTTAAATATTTTTTTTACACGTTTTATTTGTTTTCTACCTTTTTGCTCTAAGGGAATTCATTTGATATATGATCTGTTATAGTTGACTCCATGAAACAACACTTTACATTATGTAAATGGGCATCTTCTGGTAATGAAAAGTGCTCTTTGGGAGAGGCAAAATCTAGCCAGGACAAGTTGCATCCACAGCTACGACATAGGGGCAGTTCGCAGCTTTATGGTATGTTTATCAACCTGTATGTAGAAAGTAGACATTTATTTTGGCAGTTAATTAGAGTAAACAGCCCTACAACCCAGTCTGAAACTATTTGCGAACACAAGTTTGGGAACCATTGTTGTTACCATAATTCTTTGGTAATTTTATGTATCTGAATTGCCAGTCATCTTTGTCATGGTATCATCTTAATGAGATGTTTCTCACATTCTACTTTCTTCTACTTGTGTTAAGAGGAGAAGACAGCATCTGAGCATAAAGCTTCCCATGAAGTTGATGACCAAGTAAGTATTCCGCTGCCACTCTTATTGTTGTGAGTTTGGTTTTAATCTTTTATTTGGAAAAGGAAATGCCTACTTTAGCCTGTGGATTGTGGTGTCTTTTTCTCAATCCAGCACCATTTTTGCTTTGATTTCAGTTCCCCAATTTTGGAGACTGCTCATCCATGTTATTTGAAAGTAGCTGTGCCTTCTCTCTTTTGTTGTTTCCAGGGCTAACTGGAGAGATCCTTTTTTATGATTTATTTGTTACATATAGGCTTATTTATGAAAGGTTTTTCTGTTCATTTTGGTTGTTGACATGGAACCGAATATAGAAAAAATTACTTGCAATCATGTTGGAAATTTTTTTGGTTCTGATTTAGGTTCAAAAAGAGCGATCTAAATCACTGTCAGTGTTTGGAACTCTAGTTTCTCCAAAGCTTCGAGCAGCCCAGCTATCATTTGAGACAGGTGCGCACTTAAGCAAATGCTCTTGAACATATTCAAGAAGAGACCTTCCTTACGAATTATACATCTCTTGCAGCGCTAGAGACACTTGTAGAGATAGCAAACACGCGTTCAGCAATGCTCTGTGCTTTTGATAAAGTTAACAAGAAATTGGGAGGCAGCAAGGGATGAAAAAGAGTTGATTTATTCTGGTAACTCTGCTCAATGCAAATTCCCCTCTATACTCTCCCTCCTCCCCTTCTCTACGTTTTCTGTTCTGAACTGAAGAATTCAGATATACATGCCAATATTTCAGAAAAAAAAGAGTTGTTATGTATAGTTTTGGGGGTAAATGATCTCATGACAGAATTTTATTCTATGCAAGTTAAATTTTCTTATAGAATGTTGGGAGCATGTTGGAGTCCATCAATTAAATATAAGAAAGGGTTTCGTGCATTTTACAACTCCACTTTGTGCTTATTCATCTGTAATTAGATGTAAAACACTACACTTTTCCATTTCCTTGTAAAAAAATTTGGTTTACATGTATGATTTCTAACTGTCTATTCTTGATACGTTGCATGCATCGCAGAGGTTTATGACTGAACGAATTACTTAATCATCGGGATACGTTTTTGGGACTGCAGTTGTGGGCATGTCCCGGATGGCAGCAAAGAATTCTTCATTGGGGGTTTCTTCCTTCACTTTTAGTGTAAAATTGTATCAATGTGTCTGGTTCTCGGTGGCTTAGTTTTCATATTGTATAGTCATTCTGTTATACGAGCAAGTTTTGTTCACTGAGCTCAACATTAAGGTAAGGGTAAATTAGCAGCTACAATCTTGTTTCAGCCTTTTATTTTTCATGGTCTTCTTACTTTGTAAAGCACTCTCTCCTCATCATGTCTCCTTTAGCATTTTAATTGTCATGTGGTTCCCTATTTATGAGTTTGTCCCTATGAATTTGCTAACCATCTCTTCCGTAGAACTTCTTCATGGTGAATGCGTGGGACAAAAGGGGCCGAAGTATTTTGGCCTGAGAAGTGACCGGTGAACAAAGACACCAAGTTGCAGTTGGTATTTGAAAGTTTGAATATATCAATACTTGGAACTGTAGCCTTGATGAACATACCAAAGAATGATGAAGACTAGAGCAGATTCGTAGGTGCTCTTACAACTGAATGACTTCTAGAGCAGACATGCCTGATTCAATTCAAGCTCCTATTTCCTCTACAGATATCATTAGGCTGGCAAACAAGTACAACGGCGGTTCTGTTTCCTGCACCAGCAAAGGCAGCTGAGCAAACAAAATTATCCTATCCAAACAGTAAAGCATTACCGCTGAACAAGCGAGGCAAAATAGAAAACAAATCTAACACTAATCAAAGACTAGAGAGAAAAGGCAAAAAAACTGGATTTTCATTTAGTTTTTATTTTCCAGTCAAGAATACGGCACTCCAATAACAAGCGGGTTTCTTTTTCTCATTCTGGCATGCCAACCCAAAAAATAATATCACCATATAAATACAGCAAGGCCACACCGAACAACTTTACAACAATCCAATTCTATGTCGTGAAATATACAGCACAAAGAAAAGGGTAGACAATCAACAAACCCTGAAACCAAAAAGAAAAAATGACTAGGAGAGCCGAAGGGAAAATTTGTTCTCTTTTTCTTCTGTTTTCTTTGGAATTGCCTGACTAGAAAGCACTCCAATTGTCCGAACCTTTTTTCGGACTCTGATGGTCTGATGAAACTTTAAATGGACCACTGGAGCCAAAAGGATCGGTGTCATCAAAAGAGAATCCATGGCCAAAGTCTTTGCTACTATTTATGGAGTCAAACCTAGTGAGCGTCTCAGGTTGATGTGAAAATCCACTGCCAAAGTCTTTGCTACTATTTATGGAGTCAAACCTTGTGAGCCTATCAGGTTGCTGTGAAAATCCACTATCATGCATGCTGAAAGAATCAAGCCTGGAGAAACTGTCAAACTGATCCCTTGATGCCTCACTAAACCTTGGTGGAGAGTTTCCAAACCTTGAGAGAGGAGTGCTGGGAACAGAGTCTTCGAATGTAAATGGACTCTTCTTATCATAAAAGCTTCCTGCACTTGGGGATTCTGTTCTTGTTGGGTTTACACCAAAATCGCTTGATCCAAAAAAATCTCTGTGCTTATCAGAGTCCAAATCCTGCCATGAGATATTATAAAAGGGTTTGGTAGTCTGGATAAATTAATCATATGACTTCAGTTATAAAAGGGTGGATATCCTACAATTTCAAGGACAAGAGAATGTCAAGTCCAAACTACTAGGTTGTTTTGAGCTTCTGGGTCAAATTCAGATCGTCTGAACTGAAAATTCCAGCAAACCTATTGAATGGAATTATCTAGTGCCAATTATTGGAGGAAACAATTTCCATCCTGTCTCAGTGGTAGATATATATTTGCACAGGTCATTGACTTCTATGAACGTAATGCATGTGTAAGATGCACATAATTTTCTGGTAAAAGCTTGCCAATATGAACAATTACATGGAGATCTTAGCGTAAGCCGTGAGCAAACTATGCATGTTGGATTTCAATCAGAAGAGGATGCAAAATTTGCAATCTTCCCACCCCCACCACCAAAAGCCCAATCATCCACCTTAATGTCTTGGCAGAAAACTTCACACTTTGTTAAGACATCAATGAAATTTAGACAAACCTACAACATATCCCACTAAAATTTGATCTGGCAAGCATCTACGTGTTCTTTTCCCTATTACCAGACAGTCGACACACCAGTTGAGTTAGCATTCTACACAAATGACAAATATATGTAACCTAGATTATTAAGATGCTGAAAACAGATGTGTGCTCCAAGAAGTTCAGTCTCACCTTGGTATTAACAGGATTAAACCCCCACACAGAGTCTGTATCATCATTATCAAAGGTTCCCCAGGCTGATTCATCAAAACTTCTGTCCAGAAAAAATGAATGAGTTTAGTACCATCAAATCAGACATAGTCAATAGCAAAGTGAGAGACAAAAAAAAATTTAAAGTGCCGTACCGATGTGTTTCTGCATCTGCTTCAGTACTCTTTCCAAAATGGTCATCAGAAAAATGTGGGGATGGACTTTCCAGAGAGTTTCTTCCAGCAGGACTGCCATGAGGACTTCTGGCTGACTCATCTTCACTGTGTGTGTATGCAGACTCACTCTCAAGGGCACGTTCACCAGCACTGAAGAGATTTGCAGTTTTTTCATCCACATAGGAAGAGGAATCAGGGGTCAAACTACCATCTGGAGATGCTTTTCCTCTCTGAGAGACAGACACATTTTTCACATTAACAGTGAGCTCACTGCCAAATCCTGCAAATTGAAATGAATGTCAGAAAAATAAAATTGTTACAGATCCCTGTCAAATTATGTAGAACTTCAACAGCAAATACAACAGCAATAGAAGGGAATACCTTCATCTTCAAACTTATCCCACTCTTCGTCCCAGACAGCAGCTCCCTCTGGAATTCCGGGTTGCCAACCTTATAGGCATTGCATGTGAAATATCCAAAAAGATCTCTAATTAGTAAATTGAATTGTTTATATTTTAAGAAAAACTAAAGTGTCATTCCAAATACAACAAAAATAATTGGTATAGTAATTAACATACATCAGAAGTTACTGTCCTCTACTAAAGCAACCAGAGAAATCATAAAGATCAAAAACAACATGACAAATGAAACCCTCAGTCCCTCACAGTTCCATGCCAAAAGAGAATCTAAACAGACATTAGCCTCCCAAATGACCGTGAATCTCAGTGGAAAGTGTAAAATTTTTGGCTCCAAATTCTGAAAGGGTATAAATGAGGTAACCTGTCTGTTCCCCACCTATTTTTATTGCCACTTATCAACTAAACACATGTTAAGAAGTCAAAAGCAAAAACAGTAATAAGGAGAAACAGTGTTAAATTGCTTCTTTAGCAGATCCTATTGCTTTTAAATTATTATGAGGAAGGGTACACATTGGAAAGTTAAGAGTGAAATGATCTTGACTTTTTCCAATGGTACTATTGTAATTAGGATCTGAGACTAAAATGGAAAAGCAAAAAATTGTGGATAGGGCCTTAGAGGGAGCAACCATGTATTCCACAAGCCATAGAACAAACACAAACATAGGAATAAAGGAAGTAATATATCATGACATAACCATGAAGATCAATATAGATAGATCACCAAACACAGAGACAAACATGCTCAAGTAAAATAATATCTCCACTCAGTCTATCACACTAAATAACTTTTGAAAGGAAGCATTGAACTTTGAAACAGAAGTTATACTATAATATACTTCAAGAAGTTGAACCGAGGAGTAAAAGTGCATGGGAAAACACAACACATGATGACAAGATCATTTTGCTACAAAACAGGTTTGTACTCAATGGGAGTTGTGTAGAGGTACATTTTTCTTTCTTTTTTCTCTTTGAAAAAAAGAAGGTTCAAAAAGAGTGAAAGGTACCCATGGGAAGCTCAATGACTGCAGTTGATTTAACATCATATCCATGTTTCTTGGATCGTTCAGTCAGGGCTTTCATTAGCTCCTCAAGATCTGATTGTATGCGGTCAGCACGGACCTATACGAGCCACCTCTGTGTTAAAGAATTTACTTAGATTCTCCAAACATTTCATATACTTGATCAGGCTTATATTTACCTGAAGGATACCATCTGCACTGCCCCCTTGGTCCACGTTAACAATAGCCTGCTGCAACTCCCTCCTCCTCTCCTAAAAACAAGACAATTATCACATGACAATTGCAAAAGTTGGTGAAATATGAAAAGGCAGCTGCTGAGGGGTTGTAAGACCAGTACACTACATGGTAACAAATGACCAGTAGGCAAGAGGCTTTAGCCCTAGGTTAATTTAAGGAAAGAATGGATGAAGGACAAAACAGATTGAAACACATATAAATTTAGGATGAAAATGAAGAAAAAAGGAAGAGAAATATGACATCAGAAATGTGAAACAAAACTTTAAAATAAATAAGTCATCTCTCTCATCCTGGCAAAAGATGATGCCTTGACAAACACTAAGACATTAAGTTGAGGAAGTCAACAGGAAGAAATCTTCAGGCAGGGAAAATTTATAGGAAGAAACCTTCTGTACAACAAAGTAATGTTAAAACCAACACAACTGTTTTCAAGGGTTCCAGAAAGCTCAAAACCTCCAAACCAACTCAACGTCATTTTCCCATAAAAGAAAAAGTAACCATTACCTGAATCTCACGAAATTTTGCATCCTCAATTGTTAATTTGGCAGCTATTTCTGAAACTTGTTTGTATTTCTCCTCATATTTCTTTGCCAATATTTCAGCCTGCAATGTAAATTGTAAGCTGGAAATCAATGAAAATGACATCCATATAAATGAGAGGAACACTTCTTCAGATTTTCAGCAGTACCTCACGCTTATCTGCAATTGCCCTTTCCATGATTTCATTTAGTCTATTATCACACCTACTTTTATACAGGACCTGACAAAAGCGAGAATGTAAGGAAGATGAAAGTTGTATGAGAATGGTTGAGTTATGAAGTAACAAATTATCCCAGCTTTTGTGTACAATTTAACTCACCACTTATAGCTCTTGAATGTGGAAAGATTTAAACACAGGCATTCAAACTCAATGAGAACAATTTTTAAATTATTAATGCAGTGCTTGCAAAGGAAAACCTTTCAGTATGCCAACATAACCTAAAAAGAGTCTTATCTAGCAGCTTAAACTAGTCGTTCGAGTTTCTGAATAAGATCCATGATAAGGAGCTTTACTGCAGGTTTAATCTTGCATCAGTACTGAGCAGAGATCAATTCAGAATTTTTTAAACAAATTGAGACTTTTAAATACATATTTGATTTTCAGAAGACCATAATTAAAGGAATGAGAAAAGAAAATACTCACTAGTTCCTGCATTTTTTCACGGTAGAACTCAAGCTTCTCCTTGGAATCCAAAATCACCTTTTCTGTTCCATCAACCTGCCGAAATGTCTAAGAAAAAATTTTGTTATTACCCTGCTGAAAGGAATATAAACAATTAAAAAGCCAGGTTAGATAAAAAAATACTTTACAGAAGTGAATAAAAAGCTGTCCTCAAACTCTCACCAAACTGGAGGAAAAATAGAGAAGGACAAATTGTATGAGGGGCCACACACCCGCATGTGTGTGTCACTAGAGAGAGAGAGAGAGAGAGAGAGAGAGAGTATTTGAGCTTTATTCTAGAAGATGTCATGCCTTTATTCCATCAGCCGTTGCACCTTGGGCTGCTCCATTCACTGAATTCTGCTCACCATTATCAAGTTGGGTTGCAAAGGAATCATCCAAAACAGGTGCTCTTGACTTTTGTTGATTGGACATTGTAGTAGTATCAGCTGAGGCATTGGGGGGAATTGGAGGTCTGAATCCAGTCGATGGAGTCATTGGCTGGGCACCCATCCCTGGCTGCTGTCCAAAACCTAACAGCAAAATTGTCGTGTATCAAGAAATCTTCGACGACAACAATGAAAAGGAAGAGATACATAAAGTTATTAGAAACAATCCAAACTAATACCAGGATTGGGACCCCAAGCTGCATTTCCATATGAAACATTGGGTTGGCCTGTCATGGACAAGAGTGTCTCATCAAACAAAACATTGCTAGGGAGTGCAGATGGAAGAGGACGACCTTCCCTGTACCGCTCCATCAAATAGAGAGCAAAGCAGAACTCTCTCAAAGAAAGCATACTATCACTATCCTGATCAGATAAGTCCCAAACCTGCTTTAACACCTCTGACAAAAGACAAAAGTAAAAGTTTTAACATGTTTACCCAAATAACAAAGGTCTCAAGTAAGATCAATCCTGGAAATTTTCAAAGAAACATAGCATCCATGAAGCTGAATCAGTAAGATGCCAAACAATGAGCAAACCATGCCAAGAAATTGTTATTGCAACAAGGATTTATGCAAACATACACTATTTGGGAAAAAAAATTCTAAAGGGATCATCACCCTAACAGCAAAAAGAAAAATTTGTACCAATTTTCCCTTCATATTAAAAAATTCAGCATCTTAAAGCTAGTCAATCACCAAATAACTGAACTCACAGTTTTTCATAAATAGAAAACTCCAGTTCACTACCCAAAACCTATCAGACCAAAATCTTTATAATCAGCATAATTGAAAGTAAGCTCTTATTAATATAATTTCAAATGCTATGATAATTTTTTTAAAAAAAATTGCAAAAAATTACAAACAAAACAGATGTACCATCCAGGTCAGGCATCATATTCATACATGATCAAGGGATTTAAATGATGACAATATAGGAAAGAACCATACCTCTAGGTAGCCTCCAACTCAAAAATAGATTCCTAGCCTGCTCACCAGTTATTTTTCCATCTCTGTCAGTATCCACTTCCATGAACACTTTTGTATATTTTTGAACATCAGATGGTTTCATTTTTGGCCATGGAACCTGGGAACTGTTTGAAGCAGTATTCACGGTTCCCACAGAAATCCCAGATGATGTAACAGAGGAGGAACTTGGGGATGAAGCCTGTTGGCCTGGGATCAAAGATGAGTGTGCCCTTTGACTGCCTGCAGAATGCATAGAAAAAGCACTTTGCAATGAGTCAAGTGAGTTGGACTTAACAATGGGTTGAGCCCCACTTGAAACTGGTGTGATCACTGATGAGGCAGGTGCACTGCTGGGTGAAAAAGATTGTGCAGATAATTCTTGTTTTGGCGCAGATGAGGTTGCAGAAAATGCATCACCTCCAAATCCTGAGTCAGAAGTAAACCCATTTCCAGAAACAGCCAATGCTTTAGAATCATTAGGTGCAGACGGGGAAGACATTGAAAATGCAGTTTGCGGCTTTGATGCAGCTGAAGGTGTTGACGGGGTGACCCCTTGTGGCCCAGTTGAAGCTCCAACTGTCCTTCCAGCAAGCCAATCGCTTGAGATGTTTTGATTTGTGAAACTGGGACCAGTAGCACCAGTGGGCATGGATTGAAGCGGACGGGCAGTAGAACCAGCCGGCATGCCTTGAGTTTGACCAACTATACTACCTCCCCGAGAGAACTCTGGAGCTGCAATACCTTGAGGAGGACGGGGGGCAGTACCGGCAGGCAAGGTCGGTCTCATTGATGGATTTTGTTGAGATGGAAAATACTGCGGCCTCATACTTGCATTTGGAACTCCTGGTCCTCTGAGCCCAGGATTTGGAGAGGCTGTTTGAACAGCTGCACCAATCTGTGGAGCAGATGTGGCAGGAAAATTAATTTGTGGTGCTGGAATTTTTGCTGCAGCCGGACCATATAATGCTGCCTTGACAATGTCTGGTGTCAATTCACGCCTTTGTGCTACAGTCACGAGCTTGAGAGCGTTACAAAATTCTTGCTTATTGAGGAAACCACTATGGCTCTGATCAGCATGCATCCATATCTGCAGTCATAGGATGAATTGATCTAAATGGATCCATATCATCAAATGCCTTGCTTAATTAAGTTCTCCGTTTTCCCCACTCACCAAAGAACCCCATCTCCCCAAGCACACACACTAAGAAAAAGACCCAAAAAAGAACTAAATATCCAACAGGACATACCTCCCAATTGATACCTCATAATGTAAGGACACTACACATAATCAAACAACATTGCAGAGGCAGTTTTTCACTAGGAAACGCCTGTGTACTCAATTAATGCAGTGTCATATTACCATACTAAAAAAACGTCCTACATGGTTACAAGTAGATAAACAGAATAAAAAAAGATAGTGTAAAGGAAACATGAGTCACAACAAAGAACAAATAACAAGTTAAATCTGTAGCAAGATAACTCAAAGGCCGAAAAATCAAAATTCCAATTCCTAACACCATCGCATTCCTTATATGAAATCCACCATCAGCCACCAAATGCTATTCAAAGTACCCCCAAGGCCGAAGGCATGGCATCTCTTAGTGTATCACAAAATTAAATCACTTTTTCTTCTCTGTGAAACTGAAAATATAGTGATCTACTATTCATCAACATGTAGCCTGTTTTACACCAGCTTTGTTTCAGAGTAACAGACAGTGCATTGACAGAATCTAGAAGAAAATAACCGGGACTGGTTCAGAAGCTTACAAAGGTGAGTTTAACCACTTAAAGCATCCATAAGAAACATAGTCACAAACACCACATAAGTACCACTTTCAGGATATATAACATTGTGCTCTCAAGTGCAACTAGAGCCAACAGGACATGTATTTCAATACTTTCCAAGCTTAATAGTGACACTGTCCAAAAGGAGACTATCGAAAACCTAACGACTCGATAAATCCTGGACGTGCATGGAACAAAATCCACAAGAGCAAAGGACAAGTTCGTTAAGAGAAACCTAAAGTAGGACAGTGATAATTGTACAAAAGAAAAACACCGGCAAATTTCATTTGAGTTATTGAGGCATTTCACCATGTTACAACCAAATTCAATCTAACCTATATTGGGAAAAAGTGAGTCTGTGGAATTCCGATTCTAATAAGAAATGAAATGTAGGGGAGAGAGAGAGAGAGAGAGAGAGGAACCTGGGCGAGGACTTGTTTGGGTAAACCGGATCCTTGAAAGAAAGCAACAGCCTCAGCTCCACTAATCCTGCCATCTCCATCCAAATCTGCTCTCCTGAAGTACACTTCGAATTGATCCTGATTTTGCCCCGCCATTTCAACGCCCCAAACAAAGAATCAAGCGAATTCTAAACTAACTATCTCACTCTCCTAGATCAGACTAGGAAATCAAATCCAGATGCAGATCACAAACTCAAATGCACAGGAATTCTACAAGTATAGCATTTATCACAACAGGTTATAAAAGAATCGAAACAATTGATGCTAAAAAAAAAACCAAAAGGAAATACAACAAAAGGTATAAAGAATTTAGTCGGTAAAGAAAAATCAGACAGTAGGGACAAATTGGGAATTTGGCTTTTTGGTGGTTAGATCGAGGAGGGTGAGGCCATGGAAGGAATAGCACTGAGAGATGAAGTTCAAGATACGGAGATCGAAGAGACAGAGATGATGACGAAGGTTTTGTTCTCCTCCAAATATGAGCATGTGGGCTCTCTCTCTCTCTCTCTCGATCGCCAGGAACTGAGACTGAGACAACAGCGCTCCAGTTTCTTTTGGGGCGGATTTTGGGTCAGGCATGTGGCCCAAAATAATTAGGATCACAACCCAAGATCGTACCTGAAAGGCCCATCCTCCGATTGCCACTCGTTCGCTGTTTAGCCTTATGGAGGAATTTTTTCTATTGTAACGATAGAAATAAGATATTTTATCTTTTAAAATTTTTAATTTATACGGAAAGTATATTTGAGTTTCTAGACAAATTTTTTAAAAAAAAGTACTAATTTGTGATAACAAATATTTAAGGAGATTTTCTCATATTCTCAGCTTATCCTTAAATAATTCATAAAATTTTGACAAATAATTATATTTTTTTCACGTTCATCTTTTTTATTTGATTTGAGTTTTATATTTTATTTTTTAATTAATAAAAAATATTTTAGTTTTATTTTCATTTTAAAACTTATGATTAGGTTTATAAAGTTATTTTTTTATTTATTAAAATAAATTATATTATCAAAATGTTTTCTACATCTTACAACACTTCGCAATTAAGCTTGCGAACAACTCATTTAGCTTCTCTTTACAACACTATTACATTACATCATAAACCAAACATACCCTTAAATCAAAAAGTCTAAATAGTGCTAAACTCTCTTCTTCAAAAAGACTGATAACGAGGCTTGAGTATTCCAGTTGCAGCAGACAAGGCCTTGGAAAATGGAATCCAACATTAATTTGTGCTTCCTGCAAAACAAAAAAGTTTCCCCAAAGCAATCAAGAAAAGTTGGGACGAGGGATTTGAGAGTGGCAACTACTAACTACTCCCCCAGCCGTTCCTTTTTCTCTGTTGGATGCCATGTATTTTTCCCTTCAGAATTCTTGTTAACATTCATTTGCTAGAAGCTCATGGATCACCTAGCAAGTAATTTAATTGTTTTAACTATTTCCAATTTTCAGGATTGTTACTGCAGCTCCTTAAAAGTACAGCCATTCAAGAATCAAGAGGAACATCATGTTCTAGTTGAACTAGCCTATCATACTCTATCTAATTTAGATGCTAAAATCCATTTATGGTAGACATTCACCAGCGGATGTTACCTCCTCTGCAACAAATAACCAAAGCCAGGCTCCAGTATCGCATGAATGGAGTCACATGCTCAATCAGAATAGGTATCCAGATTTTGTCCAGGAACAAAGCTGTGGCAATATCCCTCACTGCAGACTAAGAACAATCATTTTAAAAAGTATTAAACAAATGAAATGAAATGAAATGGTAAAATGCCAGAAAAGAACTAAAGGTTATCTCATTAAAGTCCAATGGGTTGTTTGTACAAAATAAAAGTTTTGTGACTAGAATACAAATTTTGAAGAAAGTTCAGTGGCCAAAATATGCATTATTCCCCATAAATTACCAAAAATTATTCATTCATGCAAGTGACGAAAGCAATTACAAACATTTCAATTCTTAAGCAGCTTTAACTCTTCTGACTTTTTCTTTAGGCAGACGTAACAGGTAAGAATCAGAACGTTTATCTGGATACTTCCAAGAGATTGTCTCTTCAAACATAATTTAACTACTACATATTAAGCTTTCAATGCAAGTATATTGAAACTATAGTAACAATTCCCTTGTATTAATTCCAAACTATGAAAATGGAAATTTTTCTCATGAGATGAACTACTCGCATAAAGATTAAGGATTTGCTTCACAATAGCAAATTTCAAGTTGAACTCCAAATGCAGGTAGACACAACAGATTCTACATTGACGAGAAAAGACTAGGTGTATAAACAAATATACAACTATAAAATGACAAATAAAATGGGGGATGAAGCATCTATAAAGTACATTCCTCATAGATCAAATGTGCTCATAAAAGTGACATTTTAAAGCAATTTCAAATCTCTGAATTATTGTCCAGCATTTTAATACTGTGAAACTACATCCTATCCAGCACATTAACCAGAAAAACACAATTTGAGATATTAACTGTCAATGCAATGATACGAACTAAAAAACTTTAATAATTATTACTATCATAAAAACAAAGCACTAAAGTTAACAGGATGCTTAAAGGACAAAGTCTAGAAAATTGAAAAAGAGAGTGAGCAAGCAAGGATTCTAGAAAGGCCCCATAAACTGAACAAGGACTTTAGAAATGGCATTGCAAATGAATGGCAAACCTAGCAGCCAGCTTGGTGAAGATATCAGGTGTAATTCTCCCTCGTAATGCAATACTTCACAATGCCAATGACTTAAGTGGGTTCTGAAACCCAGAAATTTACAAGGACAACATGCTAAATGAGCAGCAAGAATCAGCAGATAGTGTTACCAAGACCAATTATCTTCAATCTAGGGAATGAACACTGCAAAGTTGAAAGAAATAAATCCAGAGAGAATGCAACAAATTGAGGGGTCAACTATCCTTACCGAGTAGAAATAGAAGATAAATAAAGCCATTTACTCCTTCCAATGAAATATGGTGTTATCTTACCAGGCCCATCACAGAATCATGCATATATGTATATCTTGCTTTGGCAAATTTGAGTTTAGCCATCATGAAACCAAGGAGCTCAGAAGCTTTTTGGATAATCTGCATGCAAACCAAAAATCATATAATCAATACATGTACCTGCACTCAATAGAATAGTTTGAGAAACCTCAGATACAGACTATTAGAATACCACTAAGTGATACAAACTAGTTGAATAATATAGGATAAGCACAAAGGCAGACTTTACTTGCCCTAGTCATGGATAAATGTGCCAACTCAAAAATGCCAGCCATTAGCACGCCAATATCTCCGAGCATTTTCATCACGGCGAGCATTTTTAATCTTCAAAAATAACTTGTAAGCCTTCTCTACTTCCTTCGAAGCAAGCAGTTTGCTATTTAATTTGCTATATAAAACTCTGCTTGGGCAAAACCCCTTGTGCAAAGCCTCCTCCATGACAAGCACTGCATTTTCAAGGTGCCCTATGTTGCAAAGTCCATTAATGACATGCTCATAAACTTCCATATCAGAAGTATGACCGCTTTCTTGCATCTCATCCCATATATTTAACAGCATTCCACATTTACCAAATCTGGATAGCCGCATGAGCAATAACTTATAGGCACTAAGTGATATTTTACAGCCAAACTTCCTAGCTTTCTTATAGAAAATCATAGCAGCATAGGGTGGACCATAGCTGCATAAAGGTTCAATGAAAGAGGTTAAAGTCCCTGTAGTGGGAACAATTCCTTGAACTAACATCTCGTCAAAAATTTCAAGAGCATCAGCCACTTTTTGAGCTTTAAGAAAAGCAGAAATCAATTTCGTGTAGGTATCCATATCAGGGTCAGAGTTACTATTTAATAAACCCTTGTAATACTTCATACATTCATCAAAATTCCCAACAGAAATAAAATTAGAAATCATTGCATTGTAAACTCTAGTGTCTGGAATGCATCCTTTCTCCTTCATATGATCAAAAATCTCAACAGCATCATCACTCCTTCCTGCTCTTCCCAAGCCCTCAATAAGATAACTGAAAGTTGAACAATCTGGAGTAAATCCACCTGCTATCATTGCTTTCAATGTCCTCTCTATTTTACTAACTCTACCTAATTTTGACCACCCACTTATCATGATATTGTATGTATCACAATTGAACTTTACCTTCCCATTTACTGCATTGAACAACGAATTTGCAGCACCTACATGAGCTCGTCGACACAAACACTGTAAAAGCACATTCAAAGACTTAGTATCACGCTTCAATCCAAGCTCTTCCAAGTTCTCAAACGTTTCTATAGCTTTTTGCACACGCTGAGCCCTGATGAAACTGTCCATTACAATTGACAGTGTCTCCACATCAGGTTTTATGCCTTCTTTCACCATATCATGCATAGTCTCAATCATAAACTTAAAAAATTTCCTTCTACCTAGTGCTTTAATAATTATGTAGTAACTATGGATGTCTCTTGCTATCCCCAGCTGCTTCATTGCCCAATTGAAAAACAAAACCATAGCTTCACCGCCTAAATTTCCTATATTCACGACCTTGGACATTATATCGATGCTTAATTCCACGGGAACATTTGATAATGCATGTTCAATAGCAGTCTTACCCCTCAATTTTTGAAGAAAAACCCCTCGCAATTTCTCTTCAGGCAATAAAAATTCATCAACAGCTCGTCTTTCCATTTGTTTCGGCGGATAACTCTCCCTGTACGAATTTGGAACAGTCGCGTTGCTATGAGAAAATTGAAACAAGTCGGAGAGTTCACCGAGAACGCGACGCTCGTCGACGGTCGATTGGTTGCTTATTTGATCAAACGACGGTTCCTTTATGGAGGAATCTGAGAGGGTTGAAAATGAAAATGCAGAAGAGAACGAACTAATGCAGGGCAAATGGTTCCTGGCTCTGTTAAAACTCAAAGACACCCCGTGGAGGTGATGGAAATGAAACGCCATGGAGAACCTCTTCAGAGAATCAGGGTTGCTGGTTTTGATCGTCTGACAAACAAATTCTCCCAGTTCCTTTTTTATTTTTTTGGTCTTAAAAATATAAAATAACAAAAAAAGTCACGTTTTTTTCTTTGCCAAGGTGACTTATAGGTGTCCAATGGACTACCGTCCCAGGCCCACAAGTCCAGCCCAATTCGCCCAAAATGGAAATTTGATTTTAAATCATAATCTCTATTAAATTATTATATAAATAACAATGTATTTCAATTTTTAAATATTAAAAATATATAAAATAACAAATAAATAAGTGTACCAAGCCGATTACAGACTTCAAATTTAAATTTTTTTTTTGAAAGCAGTTAAAATTAAAAAATAATGATGAGATGCAATCCATTTAATTCGTAAATATTTTTAAATTTAGAATTTTAATCTTAAAATATCTTTTTAAATTTGAAACATTGAAAATGATCTTAAATAGTTGATCTCTTTATATATATATATATATATATATATATATATAAAGTACAACTTATAATCAATATTGCCACAATGTCTAAACACAAATGACTTCTTGATGTTCTCTTTTTTTCTTGTTTGGTAATAGTCTTTTTAGGTTCTATGGCCTTTTCCCTTTTTCCCACTCTCTTTCTTAAAATTTCTTTAGTTTTCCATGCATCTAACTTACTATTTAATTTTCTACATCTAGCCATCCAATTTGTATTATCTTCCATATATAACATGTTAGTGCACTTATGACATAACAGTCGGAAAAAATTTCAAATTTATTTAAAAACTTTTTAAATAAACTTTTAATTTTCCATCATGTTTAATCAAATTTATATATTTTTAATTTTGATTAAATAAATCATTATAACTAATAAGTGAAAAATAATATTTATCATTTTATATTCATTTAAAATTAACATGAAATATGAAAAAATATCATATGATCATGTTGTTATATCATATTAACATGTTATATATTATCATCTATTATAACATATTAGTATTTTATGATAATATTATTTAGTATAAAATGATAAATAATATTATGACTAATTATAATTAATTAATCATTAATTATAATATTTTATTTTATTTTAAAAATATAATAACTTGATTAAATATAGTAAAAAAACCATTAATTTGAACTTTTTTAAATAATTAAAGAATTTCTTTATGCATTATGTCTATAATTATTTCTCTACTTATTCTATTTGTATGGTAAAAAAACTTAGTATATTTTTCATTGTATTATGAAAATGTTATTATCTCCCAACCAAAATTAATTTACCTTTATTTATGACTTTTATTTTGAAAAAAACCACTTTCAACATGCAGAAGATCAATATGTACAAATATATAATATAATCTTTTTTAAGAGAGATAAAACATGGGCCGATCTTTAATTCAGAAGAGGCCTAAACATTTACAACGACACGTGGCAAAGAAACTGGGCGTGATAAAAAAGCTATTGCTATCACCACTGCAGATCCAGCTCGAAACTAGGCTATTTTCACTACCTGATGGGCTTCTGGTTACCACGGGCTGACTGGCGTATGGTGATTTTATTTCCGGCCCTTTTTTATTTCGCTCAAAAAACAGCAGGAATGAAAAAGGAAAAACCGCCACTATCGAAAGCAATTCGCCGAAAACTCCCGCCAAAACCTCATTTCCCACTTCAAAATCCCTAGTCTTAAACGTCCATGTACTTTTCCATCCACTCTCTCTGGAACCCAAAGAAATGACGTTTGCAGCAGCCGGGGCCAACCTCAATCCTAAAACTGTGTATCATATTGCGGGAATTCCTGTCGAATTCCCGTACAAGCCGTACGGGACGCAGTTCACCTTCATGTACAGAGTCATATCAACCCTGGATCGAGCTCAGAAAGACGGACATTGTCACGCCTTGCTCGAGTCGCCCACCGGTACCGGCAAATCGCTATCGCTTCTGTGCTCCACTCTGGCCTGGCAACAGAAGTATAAGCTCAAGAATCTCCAAGGCTGTTTGTCTCACTCCACACCTGCACCGGAGGCCACCACCGATCCTCTCGGTCACGGCGGTGGTTTTATCCCTGAAACGCAACCTTCAAGTAAGTTTTGTATTATTTTCTCAGCATGATCTCCGGTGTTGCTCCGATTTTGAATTCGGATTATCAGTGGTGTTCTTTAATATTGAAGATTGCATGATGGACCTTGATTATTGTCATAGGCGTTCCACCATCAGGGATTTCAGAGCCACCTCAACAATCAGCGAATGGCAAGAATAAGAAGAAAAAGTTGGCTCCTACGATATATTATGCTTCGTAAGTTTTATTTTATTTTATTTGTCTTTAAGTGGTTTCTCTTTGAGGTCACTGTCCATTTAAGCTCTCTTTCTTTTCATTTTTTGGTATCAAACCATCACTCAAGTATGGCTATGGTTCTCAAATAATCTGAATTAGTACTTGTTGTCAAAATTTGTTGCCTAGCAGCAGTAACGGAATAAAGATAGATGGTGCATGTTGAGTAAACGGGATACTAAAGGTTATTTCATTCATTTTTTGTGATATAAAATGTTGCTTTTGGAGTTGGTATATGTTTGGACTTTTTGATGGTTTAAGCTGTTATATTCTTTGATAACTGAGCCAACATTCTTACTGCACTGATCAGTATAAAAAGATACAGGAACTTGTATAACTGGATGTGGCTCTGATACTTAAATACTGTGGTTTCCCATTAATATCAGGAGGACACATTCACAAATTTCTCAAGTGCTTCGTGAATACAGGAAAACTTCTTACCGAGTGCCAATGGCAGTATTGGTATGTTTTACCCAATCTTCATTTTGACTTTTTCTTCTTTTTTTTAGTAGGAAAAAATTTCATTGATAGAGGTTTTTTTTTAAAACATGATTTTAGTTGTCATGTTTCCAAAAAACTCTTTCTATGCTTACGCCATTATTCTAGTCATTATACTTCAAAATTATGGAAAATTTTGTTGACTTTCCATTCATTTTAAAATTTCGCAGGCTTCAAGGAAAAATTATTGCACAAATCCACATGTTCTTGGGAAGGAGAATGTTGATGAAGAATGGTGCAGTTTTTGGACCTTAAAATTTCTTTTTATTTTCTCCTTTTGGTTTCTCTTTTCCTTCTCCCTCTTTGTTTTCCATTACTTTTTCCTACTAAAGATGCTACTTAAATTTGGCAGCAAGCTGCTTTTGAGCAATCGAGAGGAAGGATGTTTTGAATTTAAGTGAGTTGTTTCTCTGTTCAGTATCCTTTTATAGTTACTTAGCCTTGATTGTCCATGATTTCACTGTCAATCTTGAAGTAAGAGTATAACCATAATAAATTACCCATTACATGCAGAAATATGCATAAAGTCAAATGTCATCCCTCACTTCAGAAAGGAGGCTGCCATGAGGTCCATGATATTGAAGATCTTGTCAAAGTTGGACAAATAGTTAAAGGTTTTTCTTTTCTTTTCTGTTTTTAGAAATATGTTTCTGCCACCATGTCACTCTTCAAAATCATTCTGAGGGTTCTCTTCATTTCCCAGGATGTGCATACTATGCTGCACGTTCCATGGCTGATGATGCACAATTAGTTTTTTGCCCGTATAGCTACATCATCAATCCTGTTATTCGAGGAGCAATGGATGTAGACATTAAAGGGGCCATTATAGTTCTTGATGAAGCTCAGTATGTCTCTGCTAACTTCCTCAATCATTTTCTGATAAACATCTGTTTGAGTTCTGATAAATTTTGGCAGAAGCAAACATTCTAGATAATCAAATTAGGTTTTGAATAAGGAAAACAAGTAATTATTTCTATGAATTTGCTCTGCACTTTAACTTGGCTGAGTTGGGGTAGTTGAATTTCTGTTTTTTGTGGGGTTGAAAGCATTTGATGTACCATAAAGTTACATTATCTTTGACCTTTTATTGCTTTTATATGGTTAAGGAAAGGCTCAAGTATGTCAACATTTCATTTTTACTTCTTTTCTTGTAACCATATCTGTAGTAGATCTTTCTTCTATAATTTCCTAACAGACCAGTGATCATGCAACTGTTTCCAATAAAAAAGAAGGGTTGCTAATTCCTCGGCCTAGAAACTGAGGTGGGGTTGATATCCAAATTATCCAGTCATAGACTTCTTTCTTGGTGGGAATAACGTAGATGGAGGTTCTCCTTATTTCACCTTGCTTTCTCTTATTGTAGTACACAAACTCCTCCGGAATCTGCAATCTCAGTGCCACTAACAAAAAATCAGTTAGTTAAAGTTTATGATTTCCTGACAGTTACATGGTGAATAATTTATGCTGCAGTTGATGTTGTGTTTCATTTTTGACATCTAAATAAAAAGATGTAATAGATTTGATTTTGTTTAGCCCAAGGCACATTCTAAAGATCTCTTTAGAATGCTAGCATTGTTGAAGTTTTGGAGAATGATTTGTCTATAATGGTCAGTGGATGCCTATTTGCTTGCCAAATTAGATGTGTAAATAAAGTTAGGTAGTTTAGAAATGAACTCTCATCCCATCTTGGATGACTGACTGAGATTTTATTTCCTTGTGTATATGAATTGTTTGTCAAGATCTGATATCAAAAGAGTTTCTCCTGTTACAGCAATATAGAGGATATTGCTCGCGATGCTGGTAGTGTGAATCTTGAAGAAGATGCTTTGCTCAGTACGTTAAGAAACTTTTACTTCTTATTTATCATATGAGGATTCTAATTCTTATAGCAGTTATACATTATGGAAGAATTGCAGATGGAACTAGAGCAGCTCTACATGATCGACGCCACAATTTACCAACCACTGTATGAAATGACACAGGTAAGGAATGTCATTTCTTGTGCAACGATCAGGTCTGACATAACATTAGTTAATTTTTATTTACAATAATTGGTGCTGTGGAAGTGTAGGACCTAATAGGTTGGATTGAGCAGAGGAAAAGCACATTAGAAAAGCATGAATTTCAGCACTACTTCTCCTCGTAAGTTTTGCAAAGAGCTTCTTTATGTTGTAGTTAGTCTTATCTCTCCTTGTGGGAGTGCCATTTTGGCCAAAGATAATTAAATAGCCTTTTTCTTTCTGTTTAGCACTCTTTACATTCATGGTAACATCTACTCTAAGATCTGACCGTCTTGGACTAACTTTATGTAATGCTTGAACTTTTCTAAGCTTGATGTACTCTGTAAATTGCATTATTTCTGCAATCAACATTGAAACTAGATTGGTAAATTATACTTTCTTATTCACTGTTCTTGTGTACATGAACCTTTTTCTATTTGTTCTTTTCTCTGTTCTTCCCACTAATGAAGTTTTTTATTTTCATTTTTATACTATTTAAATGGAAATGGAAGACACCGTCTCCATAAGATAACAATTTTGGGGATGATATGTTTTTCCTCTTATGACACGTTATGTTTTCTTTGTCATAAAGAAATCAAGGGAACTATGGCAGTTTTCACCTTATTTTCTGCAAATAATATTGAAAGTTTTAAAGTAAGTTTTGTTAGGTGTGACTCTTATGTTTGTTCCTGTTAGCATTTGATTTCCATGGTCTTTTATGTTTCTATAATCATATCTTACAGCTGGACTGGTGACAAGGCATTAAGACAACTGCAAGAAGCTAACATTTCACAACAATGCTTCCCCATCTTGCTAGATTGTGCAACAAAGGTACCATACTCAACAATATTTTGAGTCTTGATTCTCAGTGTTTTATACTGCTTATGAACCACATTTTATTCAAGGCAATCAAAGCTGCTTCAGATACAGAGTCCGCCGAACCTCATTTAAGTGGCATGTCTGTCATAACCTTGGAAGGTAAAATCATAATTTTTTCATGTGTGTACTCCAAGCTAATTAATAACCCTTGAAGTCTTAATATTGGGATTGACTACATCAACAAATGCATTACAGGGCTGTTCTCTTCACTGACATATTTCTTCTCAAGGAATGGTTCTCACATATTTGATTATCAGCTTGCTCTGCAAAGATATGTTAAAAAGGATGGCAGTAAGTGGTTAATGAATTTATTACTATTATTTTATTCTGTCATTTTCATGTAGACAGTACCTTTCTCGTGTTGTGAGTAAACTTTCAGAGAAAATTTTAGCCATGTTAATATTAGTGTATGAGATAGTTGATATTTGGGCTATCAACATCTAGTCAGATTTAAGTTGCATAGCTTACAAAGAATTTGGATATAATAACAATAGGTTGGCATTTTAGCTATTGGTTTCAATTGTTATTTTTTCCCTTTCATTGCTATGAGTTAAAAAGTTTCACTAGAGAACTCAGTTTTTGGTTATTACCATAGTGTTTTCTGTTCTTTTGATTAAACTAGAAAGGTTATTGATAGTGTTTGCATACAGAAAATGCTTTTGGCAGTTGGACATGTTCTTTAAGTTTGTGGTGCTTGAATCCAGCGGTTGTTTTCAGAGACATTGCTGAACTTTCATTGTCTGTCATTTTAACATCTGGGTAAGGATGGTCCTTATTTGAACACTTCAATTGCATGCCTTGCATTAATGAACCTTCTCTACATCATAAAGAAGCATTTGCAGCTTTGTGCAAGCTTTTATTATCTTGTATCCAAAACTTTTCTAGCAAGTCACATTAACCAAGTCAAAGTAATAAAGCCATTAACTACTTCTAGCTATCTGGATGGATATCTTCTCCTGAAATCTGATTGATAGCACATAATATATTCTGCCATCCCATCAGTGTGCCAACCTTTAAGAAGAAAGTTGCCAATTATGATGTCTGATACTGAGCTGCACTTTAGTGAAGGTTTTCATATTTGTGCTTATGTCCTTTTCCATTCACTGGTTTCTTTGGCTCACTTGCATTTCCATATAGTGTTTTTGACTTGTAATTTCATTAACAATTTTCTGTAATCTAGGACATTGTCACCAATGAATTCCTTCTCATCTGAACTTGGAGTTCAGTTTGGAAACTGTTTGGAGGCTCCTCATGTTATTGATGTTAAATCCCAGGTAAAAATTTTATTTTCCTCATGCCTATGATGCTCATCAATTCTTATTTCCACTGTTGTTTCAGTCAACTTTTCTATTGCAGGTGTGGTCTGCTATAATCTCCCATGGTCCAGGTAATAATCGATTGGATGCAACTTACAAAACAGCAGACACATATGCTTTCCAGGTATGCTGTATTTTGGGTCATTTTTTTTGTTTGATCGAGAATTAATTATTATTTGACATTTGCATATATGTATTTGTTGTTCTGAAGGATGAACTCGGCAAATCCTTAGAAGAAATTTGCAAGATTGTTCCAGGTGGCTCTCTGATTTTTTTCCCTAGTTACAAGCTGATGGAGAAACTTTGCAAGCGTTGGCGTGAAACTGGCCAATGGTCACGGCTTAATGCAAGAAAGCACCTTTTTGTTGGTAAGACACTCTGTGCCTCTTTCCTAGATCTCATGTGGTTTAGCATATCGTTGATTTTCTTGTCAGAAATGCTATTTAAAACTTCATGTTTCTGTGCATATTTGGCTGGACTTTTGTGTTGATGTTAAAGATGGCCTGATTTGCTCAGAATTTATAACTCACATTGTTCATGCTTGGATGTTTCATATTGGCTTGAAAATCTGATTGGTGGTATTTCTGCAGAGCCAAGAGGAGGTAATCAGGAAGAATTTGACACTGTTCTGAAAGGTTATTATGATTCAGTGTCTCGAGGCAAGAAACCTGGTCTTGGGAGAAAGAGAAGGATTGAAAAAGCAGATCACAATGCAATTGAGTCCACAGAAGTTACTAACCGTGAAGGTGCTGCTTTTCTTGCAGTTTTCCGAGGAAAGGTTTGCATCACTGTTTTCCTTCTCACTTTGTGGTACTTCTAATGGTGGAAATACATTTATGTGCTTCACTAAAATTTGATTCCTAAATTTTCCTTGTAGGTCTCAGAAGGCATAGATTTTGCTGATGATAATGCTAGAGTGGTGGTATCCTTTTGCTCACTTTGAAGTTTTTGTGCCTCTTGTCTTACATTTCAGTAATTAAATTGGTGCTTTTGAGGCCATAAAAAATCTGTATGGAAAATTGGAAGTTCGTAGCTCTGGATATATCAGCTGTGTTTATTTTCCTTCTAATAACCGCTATTTGCTTACTCCTCTAGGAGCACAAAATCATTTTCTATTTTATGATTCTTAACTGTTAATTGTGAGTTCTTGACTATCGAAGATAGTTGTTGGCATTCCCTTTCCAAATATGTATGTACTCTTACCTGTTGATGATGTTTTCAAACATAAATAAGTCATTTGTCGTTTTTTCTGACTCCTCTGGTCTTTGCAGAAATGATATTCAGATTGCTTTAAAGAAGAAATATAATAACACTTACAAATCATCTAAAAACCTTCTCAGTGGAAGTGAGTGGTACTGCCACCAAGCCTTCAGAGCTCTAAATCAAGCTCTTGGTATGCCCTGTATATTTCCAACCTTGAGAATTATATATTTGCTCATTCTTCTGGTACTTGTTTCTTAGGTGATTTGATATAAAGTAAGTTCAAGTATGTGCAAAATATTTTGATTTTATACAGATAGTTGATTATGTAATTTAAGCATATATTCTCCCTAAATCTCCTATTAAAAAAAAAACTTCCTAATTCTTATGTCCTTCAAAGAGGTATTATTTGATAACTACCTTTTACTATGCAGGACGCTGTATACGTCATAAATTTGACTATGGAGCCATCATCCTATTAGGTAATATTTTGAATTTGATGATCCATGTGGTTTCCTGTGATTTGCATATCATTAGAGTAACTAATTTTATTTTATTCTATTTCTTTTGTGAAAATGTTTCTAGGTTTGAATTATCACACAAGTTTATGAATAGTGGATGCTAGAATGACATAAATGAACTATGAAAAGAGGAAGGGAAAATCTTTATATACACATAACTAGCTAAATTAGCAATGTTGTATGGTCTATAGGAGTTACATGTCATCATTCCTATAGATTGTTTTTTTCTTCAGAAATTATTGATGCAACTGCATATGGTGCCATGAATTTGTGTTAGTTCTAGTTCCTTTGGCTTTTATACATCTAGGCTTTTCAAAGTGAGTCTAAAAATGCATCTAGAAAGCTATTAGTCATGGTAACTGAGCAGATTTGGAAGTTAGAAATGATCTTATCCTGAAAATGTTGATGGCTAGGATAGGATGTTGACTAGGGAAATCTATGTCACAAGCAGAGTGCCAATTGATGGTTTATTGCTTTGCCTTGACTGAAATGCTTTAGGCATCTGGATATCTAATTGCTAGATAGGTACTTCATGTACAATAAAAGGTCTGTTATTCCCACCCAGTTTTGGGTTAAGTCTAGCAACAGTTTTCTCTTTGTGCATTTTGTGGAAAGGATGAGGTTTGCAAGGTAAGAAAAACAAATCTTTATCTTTGGAGTAGAATTCTCAATTTTCTATCCTGTCAGGAGAATTTTGTTAACTACACCTCGTAATACTGATGCATCAACCTTGTATGTTAAATATGTGAAACAATGCTCCTACACCTGTGAAGATATTACTATTAGTTAATAGCTGTGATTCTACGGTCTTTTACTAGATGCTTTCCTACAAAAGTTGAGTGATGTAAGGTCTGATACCATTTAATTGTATGACTACAGTTTGGCTTGTGGCCTTTTGCTGCACTTGAGATTGTATTTTTCATAACATTATAGATAGTAATTTCTTCACATTTTTTTATATGCTCATAGAATTGAAAATATATTTGGTGATCAGATTCACGTTTTCAAGAAGAAAAGAATAGAGAGTACATTTCAAAGTGGCTAAGGCCATCCATTAGAAGCTACAAAAGTTTTGAGAAGTCATTAGAGGAGCTAAGATCATTTTTCAGAGATGTCAAGGTCCGTTTGAATTCCTTTATTACCATATGTTCCTTTTCTTTAAACTGTTCGTTTTCGTGTGTGTGGGCTGTGGTTGAATGGTGTTAAATAAGGTCTTTTCTCTTGCTTCACCTGTTTGCAGGACCTGGTTAGCAAGAACAAGGTTTGTAACTTGAACTTCAATAACTCTAATGAGGCCCCTTCTATAGATCAAAACTAAGGATTACTGAAATGAAAATTTGAAACTTAAAACGGTCTGATCATTGTGGACAGCAACTACTTCCTTTGGCAAAATACAATGCCACCTTTCCCCAAATGAAGCCTCAAATTGATCTTGCAATTCAAACAAGTGTGCAAGTAGAGAAGGACAAGAAGACATGCATGGAATATATTGATCTAGAACGTAGCTCTCCAAAAGATTCCCGGTAAATGACCAACACCTCTATTCTATACTGTATGAAGCTGAAATTGTGAGTGTAATGAAAGGAAACTTTATGCTTGCATATCACTTCATTTGTGAATCATGATATAGTAATATCTGGCTGCATCCTTTTGGAGATTTGTGTTTGGATTATTTGCTTGCTTTAGGAATTTTTGATATTCTTTCCTATATCTAGCAGTACCTAACTAGGTTTTTTTCTTTTGTTAAACTTGAAATATCAAACTGGTGTAATTGGCTTGGAAGCATCTTCTTGCAGGTGTTTGCAGACTTTACCTATGACATTTTCCAATGAAGATCCAGATTTACTCATGGTCAAGGAAACACCTTTTGTGGATTCCAGTATCTCTCTTGCTAGTCCTAGTTCGTTATCTAAGGATGGGAACTCTGGTTCAACTATAATTCAGGCCTCAACTAAGTCTTCGGATCAATTTTTAATTCATCCAATGTCTTCAACAAGCCTGAATGAAGTTCCTTCCACTTATGACTCTGTGACAATGTTCACCCCTGAAAAAGACGTCAATCAAAACACCTCCAGCCTGATACCAAAAATAGAATCACCTTCAAATCTTAGTGTTTGTTCTTATATTCATAAAAGGAGCGAATCTATGGGTTCACCTTTCATTAACCTTGATAATGAAGAAGGAACTGATACTCCTCCACAAATTCCAGGTTCTATGAGTTTCAAGAATAACTTACTAGCGAACAGGCGCAGAATTGAATTTGGTTATGAGACTTGTTCAGCAGAAAACAAACCCAAGAAATCAAATGTTCCTCAGTCATTGGCAACCGACAATACTGTTTTTTCTTGTCCTACTATGGATAAAAGATTACAAATTTCTTGTTTACTCTGCAGAAGCCCTTTAGGCCGCCCTGAAAATCATCTGTATCTCAGTTGCTCGTTGACTGTGTCATCAAAAGTTTACCTGTTATCTCTTATAAAAGAGAGATTCATTTGTTGTGCTTCAAATACACTAACAACTGTACCAGTTATAATAACTGACATTTCATCGGTTGATCTGAGACTCTGCAATAGAACTCTTGGAGGTGACAGAGGACAGGGCATTTGGCATGAAGATGATGGGTGTGTATTCAATAATGTCTTTTGCCCCTTCTGCAGTAGCTGTAACAATTGTCTTGGTGTGCAAATCAAAGCAGCTGATGAAAACAATGTTAAGTGGCTAAACAAGGTTGGTTATTTAAACCTTAGTGTCTCAGAACTTTGCATTTTTGTGATTCCTCAAATAATGTCTTACCCCTTTTTGTATTTTAAAAAGGCTTATCTGTGACTGACTTTTTCATCTGCAGATACTGCTTTTCACTGATTGTGTGGAAATTAGAAATACTGAAGCAGCAGAGGACAAGGCAGCAAAGGATAAAGTAAGATGTAATATTAGACATAATGATTCTTCTGTTGATTCCTTGTTTTTTCTCCACATGTCATAATACTAAGACAGCTTTCCCTTTTTGTTATAATGCTGAAAGTTAATAATAGAATGGAGAAATTTTATATTTTTCCTTTATCCACTTAACTGTCATGTAAAAGAGGACCTAGTTATACATTTGAAAAGAGCTTTTCAATTCAGGGCCTATATTACATACTTTCCAAAAAATTTTGAATGCTAAAATTTTACTGACTGGACTTGCTACAATTGTTCCATAGGATTATCGGATTGAACTGAAGGTTATTTTCAATTATGGAAGTTGCTTTTGCTGTTATTTTATTTAAAAACACTAACATTAATGCATTGTTATAGGATTTGTCGCAGGTTGATGCCTCAACCATGGACAAGACTGCCATTTTAAATTCCATTGATAAGTTTGCATATTCTCCTAAGCAGCCAGACTTGGGAGGGTGGAGGACTACAAAATCAAAGGTTAGACACAAAGCTTTGAGCTTTTAATCACAAGACATTCTGTCCACTCCAAAACCTAACATTTCTATTTATATCATCTTGCAGCTAAAACTTTCTAAGAGGAGGGGTTAATGATAGCTTTACCATACTAAACTCTTCGGTTTTTTGTAAAGCCTTGCTTAATGAGATGTTGGTTCTTGCAAGACGTACATTTTGGTGGATTGACCGTCTCGGTCCTATTTTTATACCTTAGAGCAAAACCAGCTGGAGCAACAGGTATATTCTTCCTGGCCTAATTTATGAAGCTGAGGTTGCTGTCTGTTGATAAGCCGTTTGATAGGACATTTGTTGTGGTATTGGTTTTGCTCTCATAGTTTTGTAGTTCCAGAATGGATATGACCTGTATATTTCTCTAGGGAGTTTTTTGATTTGTATATATAGAAATGATTTACGAGGCCACAAGAATGCAAGATGAATTGTTTCATCAACTGAAGGTGTAAATGTCATTCGATATCAAAGTATTTGCTTATGTTTTCTTGTGAAACTAATTAATTGATAAATGGAGTCGGTAAAAATGTTTGATTAGATTAATCAACAGGCTGTTGCTATGGTTAAATGCTTCCTAACAGGCGGGGAACAATCCCAGAAACCAAGAATTAATTACGTGTTACAGGGAAATGATAATGGTTATGACAAAGTGATGTTAGAATAATTCGGATCCAATTAAAATGTTACGTTAGCCGCTCTAATGGGTGATCTGTAATGAGAAATATGATTAAGAGAATATTATGAAATTGCACATTGAACAAGTAAAATAAGAGAAGAATCTCGCTCTTATAATTTTTTGAAAAGAGAATGTCGTCTAGTATATGAACTCTGTCGTTAGGTGAAATCAACATGGAACTTGTAAAACAAGCACAACTTTTCCTTGCTTAGAAAAAGGAAATATACTGTAATTAGATCAAGTCGAGTATTCTCTGCGGGTTATACACTTCCTTCTCAAAGGGCCTCCCAAACGTATATCTATGTTATCAATTCCAGCAGCTTCAGTCTAAGTATGGCAAGAGATCGCCAAGGCATCATCCGAGCAAGCCAAATTGTTCGACTAGGTTATTATAAGGATCATAGCCTCTTGAAGATTCCACTTTACCAGTAAACTGATCAATCCCTGCTCACAAAGAAAAAAAAATTGTAAAAACAAAGCTGAAGTGCCACAGCATTGATCCAAAACCACCTGCTTCATCTTCCCAAAACCACTATCCTAAGTATTCAAAAAAGAATGATCATTTATGTACCTGTATCTGGGTTTTGGAAATAGAAGCTTTCAACCCCTTGTGCAGGGATATCAATAAACTCCAGACTTTCTGGTTTGGTCCTCTTCTCTTTTGTACCCAAACCTTCTGCATCCTCTTCTGGTTCTGCATTGATTGAACCAGAGGCCTGCTGCTTCCTTTTTGAACGAGCACGCCGGTTCTGAAACCAGTTATAGACATTTGTTTCAGAAATTTGGCCATGCTGTTCCAGTTCAGCTGTTATCTCTTTGATCTTTTGCTTGCTCGGAGTCCCATTTCCTAGATCATATATACTCTCCAGGATTTGCAGCTGCAATGATGTTGGAGTCCATCGCTGTCTAGCAGTGATCTTATGGCCAATCGAGGCTACTATTGGATCACAGTAGGGATTTCCCAACCTTATTCCTGAACCAAAGGAAAATCGATGTAGCATCCAGAAGCAATGAGAATTGAGAAGCACTCGCAGTTTATAAAGAAGTCATGAATCATTTCAGGTAAATAAGCATCATTTCTGTTGTCCTATGTTGCATAAATAAATTGATTATTCATCCATTAAGCTAGAGCCATGCCAACAACTTTTTTTCATGCATGAAATCTTATATGTATGATACACACACACACACACACGGAAACACCTTTAATTCAATCTGATGAAAGTCGATGGACAGAAACATCAATCGAACCATAAACAGCGATGAGAGTCACATAAAAAGGAGGGAGAGCAAAGAAAAGAGAAAACCCACCAGTAAAATCCTGATGGGCAGACATGGCTTTGTGCATCTCAGCCAGCTGCTCAGAAATAACCGCATAGGCAACGATCTGTTTCCTCAGTTCCTCCATCTGTTCATCAGTCATCACCTTCCCACAAACCCCATTCTGAAATTGATACTGCAGATACCCTTCTTCTCGCTGTTGCACTTCTTGATTTTGCCACTCCATTTCCTCTCTCCTGTCAGGCCTTTTTTGCCTTCACCAAATCACTTTTTCTCTGCAAAGAGTCATACCCTTCGAATCTTTCTTCCAATTTATGGAGGAAGAAATCAGCAGCAAAGATGGCAAGTAGCTAGCATATGCAATAGTAATTGATTAGAAAGTAGTAACCGAGAAATTAAGGGAGCAAAAAAATGCGTAAATTAGCAGAGAAGGGTCATCGTCATTGGCTTAGCCCCAGCGCATTTGAGTGCCGGGTCGCGCGGGTAACTTCGTGTCTGATTATGGAACTTTCTCATCTCCTTTTTGGATTTCAGTTGCCCAATCACGACTCTTCGTAGCCGTTGAAGGGTATTTCCGTCAACTACGTTTGAAATTGAATTTCAATTTCCGAGTAAAATTAAATGACGAACGAGGCCTTTGGGCGTTGAAATTTGAATTTTCTTTTAATTTTTTGGTAACTTGATTAAATTAAAAATAACCATGAAAATAAAAAAAGATAACGCCAATTGGTAATTGATTCGATTCGTTCAATTATAAGTTTTAAATATTAAAAATTAATAAAAATAATAAAATAATTCGTTTATCTTAATTTATGAAAATTCAATATAATTATCGACTAAAAACATAGAGCGACCGCAAGAGGGGATTGTATTCACTTTGTAGAGTTGATTAGCTGATTTCAGGGCAGCAAACAAGCGAGTTAAACAAAGGCTTGGGTCCTGATGACTGGATCCAGATTGATTCACAGTGGCGAGACAAGCATAGGAAAAGAAAAGGCGGACATTCTTCGAATCTTGTTGGAGGCCAAAGCCAAAAGTTGGTACGCCTAATCAGACCACTTAGTCAACGACCAAATGTTTCGTTGGAATGAGATCTTCCATGATTTGGTTTTGCAATTCCCCTGTATTCATGGATATGACTGGGTGATTCTGCAAGGATTGGTTGTGTCTCCTCGTGAGTGTAACAAATGATATGATTCGTCGAGGCCTGGCATTTTGTGTAAGATTATTATTCGGTGGTAATGTGTTTCTACAATGCGCGCTTTGAGAGGAATCAAAGACCATTGATTTCGGACATGCAATGCTCAAACGAATCTCTTAACGTCTACAGCAGAAGCTGCTCGAAGCAAAGCACAAGAGCAGCAACTCAAGCAACAGCAGCTAACATCCACAACAGAAGCAGAAACTTCAACAAGCTGCAGCTAGCTAAGTCTCCTGAGTCCTGTTCAGATAACAGAAGCAGACAAGCAATGCACAGCAGCACCAGCAGCTAACATCCACAACATCAGCAGCAACTCAAGCAACAGCAATTACAGACACATCAGCCGCAGAAACTTTCAACAAGTTGTGCAGTGAATCTCAATAGAAGATCAAGTTAACAGTGATTCAATCACACTTGATCCCCTCAATCAAACTTTGATAGCATTTCGAAAACATTTTATGATTTCCAAATCAATTCTTGGCATCTGATTTGGTTCCATGCATCCCTTGTAAGTAATGTCAAAGGTTGCGACTCTGTATAAATATGTACATCAACAATGAATTAAATTAAGGCATTTTCAGTACTATTTTAAAAATTTTTATTATTTTTTTTAAATTAAAAAAAGAGAATTCGAATCATGTTCTTTAAATAGATCATACATCTTAGTTAAATACTTCAATACTAAATCTTCTTATTAATTGATTAAATGGAGAATTAATTATTTATTTATATAAAAAAAAAGCTAAAACAATTAAACGTCAGAGCAATTAATCCACAACAGATGCTGGGCTCTATGAACCCCACCCTTTGCCATTTATCAATTATTAAGATCCTCAAGTTTCCTAGGCAGCCAACAAATGAAAACTTCTCATCACCAACCAAGACAAGAAAGAGTTGAGAATAAGGTAATTATTTTACAATTTTGAGTTGCCTCCAGTGCTAATGTCAACTGCCTCAATAAAAGACAAATTTTTCTCAGAGGTAAAAATAGAAGACAAAATAAACCCAAACACGATTCTACATTACTATATTACTTGCCAATTTGGTTGCTTTTCTCGTTCATGATTGGGCTAAATGTGAATTTTTAAACACGTCTTTTTCATTGACCAAGAATAATATTAGCAAGCTAGTTATTTTTCCTTGTATCCTAAGCTTGTGGGTTCATGATGTCTCCTCTGTTTTTGGTCGTATAAGTCTAAACCGAACACAAGCTTCTCAGTCCCCATGTCCTTGCCGCAAAGCTTATTTGGAAGGGAATAAGAGGGAAGGCATGACGGCAGACCAGAAGATGGAGGTGATCCCCCTCCTCACACCGTACAAGCTGGGAAGTTTTAGTCTCTCTCACAGGTCTGTTTGAACTCACGTAACTTAATTTCCCTCAAGTTGTATATATAGTACTGGAACTATACTTTTTTTTGAAAAGCATCCATGAGATTTCATTAGAGAAATGGAGTGGAACATTCCCTTTTCAAAGTACAGAACAGGACACAATGGCTAGTAGTATTTTATTCTGATATCGGAGCTTCTTCATTAAGTTGTAGTATGATTTCCAAGTCTCGAATCACAAAATTTAATTTGAATCCTCGATCTCGTTACTCCTGCATGTTTTTTGTAAGCAGGAAAGAAGTCTTTTGGGTTGATCTTGGGTTTTTTCTGTTTTGCTTTATGATTGGGAGCTTGGTTGATGGCAGACAGGTTTATATGTTTCAAAGGGATATTGGCTGGGGTATCCCTCGTTTTAAGGCTGTGGGCATATCTTCCAATATACTTTGTGCTTACTCTGCACCTCAAGCATGTATTTTGAATGGGGAAAAATTCATTCCCCCCTTCTATAAAATACTTCTGAATGACTTTCAAACATACGCATCGCCAAAAAATTGAACTCTCAATTTCATGCTCCTGAATACTTCTCCTTCCAGCAATATATATTCAGTATCAACATGGAATAGAAAGGGCACAAGCTCTTATAATAGAATAAGGAGTCTCCAATGTCGAATCAGATTCAGCTAGCCTTCAAAATGGAAGATTACTTACGGCATGCCATGAGCTTAAACGTACGGAGGAGTTGAGTGTGCCACGTCCAACGTTCTGTATATGAATTTAGATATAACTTCTAAGTGATTTTTACTATCATAATTCTAGAGACTTTTGTTTTCCAAGTCTCTGATGATCTCCGCAAGGGATGCATGCAGGTTGATCAGGACATAGTAAAATGTCAAAAACTTTCAATCTATCTGATTAAGATGCTATGATATTTATATGGATATTAGATTTAGATAGCACATATGTTAATAATTGGTATATTCTTTTGATTGTTGTGTAGGATAGTTTTGGCACCAATGTCCAGACTGCGATCTTACGAGTTTGTTTCTCAACCTCATGCTGTTTTATATTACTCCCAGAGAACAACCCAAGGTGGTTTGTTGATTGGAGAAGCCTCCGGTATTTCAGAAACTGCTCAAGGGTACATGTTAGACCTTCCTACACGATTCGGAATCATCTATTTTGTAGAAAATCTTATGATTTCTGCTAGTTGTGACGCTTCCAGAGTTCGACCTCTGCTACTCTGTTTCAAATAAAAATTCTACACTTTCATATTGTTAATTAACAATGTCTACTTTCTGGAGAGAGAGAGAGAGCAGAGGCTGTATCCAATCATAGTCATCCTCTGATTCTTTGTTTGTTTTTTCCTTTTTCCCTGGCATCTGGTTGAAGCTACCCAAATACTCCCGGTATCTGGACAGAAGAGCAAGTGGAGGCATGGAAACCGATTGTGCATGCTGTTCATGAGAAGGGGGGCATATTCTTTTGTCAATTATGGCACGCTGGCAGAGCTTCTGATCATTGTAATTCTTTGCTTTTTCCTTATCTCCGAGAGCAGAATCAATTCTGAATAGTTTCGTGCAGTACTGAAAATTCAATTGCTTGTTTCACAGCTTTCCAACCTAATGGTCAGCCCCCGATCTCCTGTACGTCCAAACCTATACAAGCTAAGACTCACATCGATGGCACAACAGCTGCAGCTTTTCCTGCACCTCGCCGATTGACAGCCGATGCGATAACCCAAGTCGTAGATGACTACAGAAAGGCAGCTCGAAATGCTATGGAAGCTGGTAATATTTCTTTGCAGCTTGACTTTGGATTACACATTTTGCATGAGCCCTGGAATCCATGGCCAACTCTTTCGTATCATAGAACTATCAATTTTTTCCCATGTCATTCGCTCATATCGATGTCCTGGGAATTAATGATTCGAAGTTACAGGTTTTGATGGAGTAGAGATTCATGGAGCTAATGGCTATTTGATCGATCAGTTCCTGAAGGACCAAGTGAATGATAGAACAGATGAGTACGGAGGGAGCTTGGAAAATCGTTGCCGCTTCCCTTTAGAAGTAGTTAAAGCAGTTGCTGACGAGATTGGAGCTGACAGAGTCGGCCTAAGACTCTCCCCGTTTGCTGGTTACAATGACTGTCGCGACTCAGACCCTGAAGCCCTCGGCCTTTACATGGCGCAGTCCCTGAACAAACTCAGAATTTTGTACTGTCATGTGATAGAGCCGAGGATGGTCACCCAATTTGATAGCCAAAACACTAAGGACAGTCTCTTGCCAATGAGAAAGGCTTTCAAAGGAACGTTTATCGTGGCCGGTGGATACAACAGAGAAGACGGGAATGAAGTGGTTGCCAGGGATGGTGCTGACCTTGTTGCATTCGGACGCTTGTTCCTGGCTAACCCTGACTTACCAAGGAGATTTGAGCTCGATGCTGTGCTTAACAAGTATGATAGAAACACCTTTTACACCCATGATCCTGTTGTTGGTTACACAGACTATCCATTTCTTGAAACTGGTAACTAAACCCTTTGATTTCTTTTTATAGACAATAATCAATAATGTACCATGAAAAGAAACTCTATTGGTGCAAATTGCAACAACTATTATTCATTTTCAAAAACACGTGGTACTAAATCACGTTCAATTGTTATTTTCTGTCTCTAAATGTTTGTGCTTATTTGATTTTTCGGGATGTTAAGATAAAAGTTTGGACTTTGATATATTTCATATTAAAATGTGATTTTTTTATAATATAGATATTTAATATTTTTTAATATGAGAAAAAAATTAAAACTACGAAAATTATATTTGTAATATAGAAAATGTAAAAATATTTACCCTCCACTTGGAACATTTCGAACAAAAAATAAATAAAGAAAATGGAACAAATGGAGTATTATTTATCAAAACTGATAAGAGATATGGGATGATAAGATATCCACGAAATATTATTGAAGCTGTCTATAATTTTTCAATAATCTTGATAATTAATTTGGAACCATATTGTGTATTTAAGTTCACAGTGTATTTTTATTATTCCAATTTTTGGATAAAAAAAGAGAAAAATGTTTAATTATTACAAATTAGGAATTAAATTTTCTTTTTGTAAACGACTCTAAATATATAGGTACATACTATTTTCTTCTCTATTTTATGGATAAAAACTATAGGATAAAAAATGGTTATATTTAATAGAAAATTTATACTATATTCTTTAATTTATTGATTACAAAAAGAAAATGGGAATGGTTTGGGCCAAGTTTTTCTTTTAGGTTTTGGTAATGGATCAAAACTTCAAGGCTCATTGGCCCAATTATAATTTGTTTGTTTTGAATGGATTGGGCTTGGATCGAGTGGAAATCGGCCCATTGAATTCGGGGAAGGAATTTACCTATTTAGCCCAATGGCCAACCCAGCTGTGAGTCAGTATTGCGGAAAATGTAAGCTTACACGTTGACAAAAGGAAAGGAGAAAAGAGAACCGATCTCCCCAGTGAGAGAGAAGAAGCACAAAGGAAACACAAAAGGGGGATGAAAGGCAAGCTTAGGAGTCACGCAGCCAATGGTGTAAAAGCACACAGATCGCTGACCTGGCATGAAATTTCCAAATCCCGCCTAAACCCCCCAATTTTCATTTCGTGCGCAATTGAATTTCAATTTCCCCAACTTAATATCTCCGCCTTTCGGCGTCTAAGCTCACCCCTCAATCTCACACATATCTTTCCTCTCTCTCTCTTGCCCTTTTTTCCCTCTCTCTCTCTGTAACACTAACCCTAACCCTAGCTCACCAACCAGGTATTTCCCATTGATTTTCATCGTTTTCCCACGATTTTTAGCGTTTTTCTATCGATTTCTTCTGTATTTTTTGCTGATCTGTGATTTTAATGTCAGGATTCGACATGAAGGGAGGTAAATCCAAGTCAGATACTAAGAGCGCCAAGTAAGTTTTTCTCATCATTTTCTGTTCGGTATTTTTGAAAGCTTGTTCAGATCGCGTGTTCTAGGATCTCAGATCTAGATTAGGATTTATGTATGATTTTTTTGATTTGATTTTGTGATTTGTGTTGATAGGCTCTCTGTGAATAAGAAGGCAGCCACGAAAGGTGGAAGGAAATCGGGGAAGGCGGTCAAGGATCCAAACAAGCCAAAGAGGCCTGCCAGTGCCTTTTTCGTTTTCATGTAATCATTCACGAATCTCTTCTGTATTTGTGGGTTTTTCTTTAATTTTTTGGTTTGCTCCGTGGAAAACTCTGGCGTTTATATTCTTCGTAAAAACCACAATTGAAGAGGTGAATTGAACGTTTCTTTTTTATGGTCAAAGAAAAATTGAGCTTCCAGGAATCATTTTGTTGATTTACTTTTCATATTCAATCTAATTTGTAAATGTTGGTTTCGTGATTCAAGGGAGGAGTTCCGTGAGCAATACAAGAAGGATCATCCTAAAAACAAATCCGTGGCTGCTGTAAGTATGGGCAGTGTCTTTTGTTGTTTGTTTTTAGGTTCCAGTCGTTTTACTTCAATTTGATTTTGTTATTTGTATTTCTCTTTCGGGTTGTTTAGGTTGGCAAAGCTGGTGGAGATAAGTGGAAGAGCATGTCTGAAGCTGTAAGTATTTGACTGTTTTCAGCGTTAAAAATCTCTGTAAATTGTAGGCAATAATGTTTTTCTTATTGATTTCAAATATATGGTTTTAGGAAAAAGCACCTTTTGTTGCTAAGGCAGAGAAGCGGAAGACTGAGTATGAGAAGAACATGAAAGCCTACAATAAGAGACAGGTAGTTGATGTAACTGTTTTTATTTAATGAGCAGAGACAATTTCAGTTTGGATTGTTAACAGTATGGGCATTTTATTTAATTGATACTAGGCTGAGGGTCCCAAAGATGATGAAGAGGAGTCAGAGAAGTCTGTGTCTGAGGTCAACGATGAGGAGGATGATGAAGAAGGCAGTGGGGAGGTATGATGCAGTGTTTCAGTTTCATGTTGTCACTGATCTGGTTGCTTATTGTGGGGATCTTATTTAATTTGGTTCTCACAATTTATGCAGGAAGATGATGACGAGTAGGAAGGTCGAGGGAGGATAGCATAATCAATGTTAGGCTGTGATAGTGTTTGATCATCTTATGTTAATGCTTTGATGTTTCCATGTTATTCTTTTAGATGCACATGTCATCTAAGGGAAATGTACCTCTGAATCCTGTGGTTTCTTTTGACCTTCAGAAATTATTAGTTGTAGATGGGAGATTTGCTGCTGCTATAATGTACTTTTGATTTAAAGTTGAATGGCTTAGATAAATCTTTGTAGAGAATTAGTCCACCTAACATGCATGTTGGTGTTCTTTCACTGTTTGCTTCAATGCTTCTGGTTCATTTGTTCCTGTGACAAAGCATCTAAATTCTGTTCATGTTCCGCCTGGAGCAACTCACCTGCCCCATTGTTTTTCTTTAGTTTTTGGCAACCACGATTATATTAATGAATGAACGTTGAAAGATTGAGGTCGCACTACTGATGATTTGGCAGCTTGGGTTCTGAACTCTCTTTGCTGATTTCAAGGTTTCTAGCTTTCTTTTCCACGGGTTATGATGTGTTTATTGTTATTCAGAAAATAGCATTGGTAATAGTAAATGTTTTAACATTAAATCAACTGTAAATCCCGGCACTGCAATCCAAATTTTCTTTGTGTCTTAGTCATGCTGTTGTCACCAAACCCGCTCTGTAATTTTGAGCCGAAATCGCTAAATAAGATTAACATTTTTACCATATAAGGGGTTTAAGACTGCTGGCCTTCTGGATATGGCTTATGTTGAACTGTTGGTGATGATTGTATTTAAATATCTTGATGTTTAGATAATTGGTCAAAGATTGAAGTTAGATTCATGCTTGGTTAAAGTTACAATAAACTGCTAAGGCTGTTTACGTACTCAAAAGGAAGAAGGGTTCGAATATGCCCTCCAATCCTATCGTAATTGCTCAATTGGTTTTGAAAAGGAAGTCGAGTCCCTCCCTTACAGGGCAATGTAGCGTTGGAGGAGTGAGTCAACTGAATTAGTAAATTACGCTTAGCACAAAAGGGTTGAATGTAATAATAATTTAGTAAAACTCAACGTATCCAATTGAATTGGTTTAATATTTGTTAATGTTCAAAGCATACATTCTTGATTCTTGCTATATTCTCATGTTAAGCATGTAGCATTGCGAATATCACGTTTCCTAGAAAAAGTCAATTGAAATTTTTAAATGGTATTTTATGGTAGTGTTCGACTGTATAATAAATATTTTTTATGGTAATAATTGAACTTATACAAAAAAGAGAGTAAGAAATGTATAGCATTAATATCTCAATTGTTGTGTTTAGCTCTTTCTTAGTTTCTTTTCCATTTATCTTTATTTTTTAAAGATTTCTCATAATGAATTTTTTTAAATTAAATATATCAAGTATTTATATTTAACACTAATTATTTAAGAAAGGAAGAGTATTATTAAAATTAATTATCGAAAAAAAAAATTTGGATTTTTCAGTAGCGAGGCAAAATAGTCAAAATGGGTTGAGGGTAATGGGCCGGGCAAAGGGAAGCAAAGAAGCATACAAGGGGCGGAAATAATATTTCTTTCCTTGATAGATAGGCCCGTAATGGACAGTAAACCGGTTCTCGACGAGTTGCCCGGCTTTGATTTCCAATCGACGAAGACGAGACCGATGATATCCATGTAATCTCCTTAACAGGTTTCCCTTTTATAAATTAATCTTTTTTTTTTATTTTTTAATTTTATGCTTTGCTGTTACTTTCTTTATTACTGAATTTGTTTTATTCATCAGCGCATTGCTCTCAGTAAGTTTTATGTCTAGGTTTAGGGTTCTTTTATGTATTCTGGGAATTAGAGAAATCTCTAAATGCTTATGATTAGGGCTTCTTCCTTTTGGTTCGCAAGAAAGAAAGATTGAGAGGAAGGAAGTTTCGATGTTTGAATAGTGCCCGTCATGAACCTTGTGTTGTTTATTGAAGTGCCCTTTTTCACAATCTTACCATGTAATTGATCAGTCTTTTTCTTAGTTTCTGGCTTCTGGCTTTCAGTAATGCAATCTTTTGATTGTCATGATTGTTTTTGGGACTTTTCCCATGTAGTTTTTCGGTGGAGTCCATATAAAATGTTGTTATGGCTTTTTAAAATGCGGTGCAAAGTTAGGACACATGATGTTTTACACTTGATCTCTGAACTTCAGGTAAGTTCACCTGTTGACAAGTTTATGTGCTGATGCCCTTTTCATTGCACCTTGTATTGCAAGATAACATTTTCCTTTGTCTTTCTAGTCTTTTTGTTTTCTTCTTTTTAAGAGAAATAAGTTGGATGATCTCTTTTGTGCTCTAGCGTGTGCCTGGTAGTGCAAAACCTGAACCCTTGAACTGTCTAAATGATGAGGAAGATGACCCCTATATCGTTTATACGCATGCATAGAAGGGGCTTTTTCGTCTATGTTTGGTAGAATTTGTTGGGGGCCTGAGAGGCTGTGGTTTATCCGATGTTTACCCTGATATCTAAAGAATCATATAAAAGATTGCTAGCTTACTCAGATTTTGTTTGTGGATAGTTAATTATTTTCTCCAGTAGCATATTATAGGCTTTTGATAGATACATGGAGTGCAGAATGAAGCTACAAATGACCGTTGTTCAACTTGTGCTATATAAAGTGGATGTGTGCCACCATTCACTAGGTAAATATGTAGATTTGCTGAAAGATGGAAAGGGTGAAAACCATTCATGAACAAAAATGTTGGTTGCAAATACACAGAATACACATCCTGGAATTGCCTGTTTCTAAGGGTGCACTTTAGTTTATGTTAAAGGCAACTAGGCAATGTGAATAGCCATCTGGGTCATTCTTTTTTTCAATTCGTACGCATCCACCAGTTGCTATTTTCGATCACGTTTTTTTTTTTAAATTTAATTAGTGAATGTCTATTTAAACTGAATGATTGTTCTTAGGCCCTTTTTAAGTCCTTGGTTATAGTTGATTCTTTCCAATCTTTAGGTGAGCATACACATTCAGTTACTATCATTGCTAACATCTTATTGATAATCTGCAGGTAAGATAAATAGGTAAATCTAAGAATGTAAATGTGAATAAAAGGGATGTTTTGAAGTGGACACAGCCTATGGATGATGTTCTCATTGTTGTGCTCTTGCACCAACAGAGCTTGGGAAACTGGGCCGGTAAGCTTTTCACTAAGATGGCATGGTGAATGAATTGCATGAAAAGATTGGGATGGCTATTGAGAAAGGTCACCTGAAAAATCGTTTAAAAACTATGAAGCATAATTTTAATGAGTGTTATGCCCTTGTCAAGGGCAGAGGCGGTTTTGCTTGGGGTCTGGACACTAAAATGTGGACTGCTAAGCCTGAATTATGGAAAGCACTAGCAAAGGCTGGTTTTTCTTTTTTTTCCCCTTCCTATATATTCTTGTTTAAATTATCTGCTATCTGAGCATGTTTATATTAATGGAACTAATCTCCATCTTGTGTTGTGGTTTTTTGTATCTCAGTGAAAGCCTGATTCAAAAAAATAGATAACTACTAGAATTGCTAATTATGATAAGTTGTTGATGCTTTTGGCAAAAGATAAAGAAAGAAGGATGGAGCTAAAGGGAGTCAATGGACCAGCTCAATTGGAGGAGTATTGTTTGATGGTATTCCTTTGCAAGATGTAGTTGGTCTGACCATGGAGGACAATGGCATGAATGATACCAGTCAAGTTGTTTCTCAAGTGCCATCCCAGTCTGCAACATCATTTAAAGGGAAAAAAATGAAAGGCTCCAGGGGTTGAAGTATTTCAGAGAGAGTTTAAACGCATAAGGGAAGCAATTAAAGATGTTGCAGGTGCAATTAGTGAGGGAAATGTTATAGCTGAGAGGGGACGACCACTTGTTTACTACTCAGAGCAGGAAGTTTTTGTAGAATTAGTGAACATAGATGTGGATACACAGTTACGCCATAAGGCTTACACTTTCCTTATTGCAAACGCAGCGAGGGTGAGAGCCTTGTTTGGTTGCCCAGCTGATGAGCGCAAGGAATATTTGTTGCAGATGATGTATAGTCCTGAGGACTCTAGCATATCAAAAATTTATTGGCTAGGTAGGGCACACTACAGTTTCTTTCTTCCTTTTTTCCCTTGCGGAAGGGGGAGAGACGTGTATATTAGGCGTTGGGGAAAGTAAGGGATTGTACATAAGATGAATGATATTCAGATAGCAATAATTCTTTTGTTCAACGTTTCTCTATTTGGCTACCTTATGCATATGATTACCTGCTATATGGAAGCCAAATGAATATATAATTTAAAAAGGTAAAACTAAGCGGTCTGTGGATTCCTTCGGTGACGTATTTATATCACGGCTTCATATTTAATGTTGTAACAATGCACAATCTCGGGATTCCTTCAAAGGTTTTTGGGTTCCTTCATGCAGGGGCATCCAAACCAATTGTGGACGTTCTTTTACCAAATTGTAGCCCAATGATTGCCAAAACAACAAAGAGTTGCAGCCCAATGACGAGTAGGACTTAGGATATTGGAATTGGCTTTTGCATCTTAAGGCTCTGGCTTGGCCTAGATGGTTAGTTGGTGGACTCCTCCTTAATAGCTTTCCTGATAGTTTCCTTCGTTCAACTTTCAAGTGACCGACAATGGTACATCCAAAGCAATTTGTCAGGTAATAACTGCTGACGGAGATAAACTGTTTGAGGAAATTCGTGTTAGACATTGAATCATGTGACCATCCCTTCATGCTGCACAAGTTCCATTCCAGAACGGTTGAAACAAAAAATGGATTGCATGTTCTCATCCATCGGCCTACATCCTGTCAAACCGTTGAAAAGAAAAGTAGTAAAGAGCATTTCTGTAACTTCCATGGCACATCCCAACACAAGAATTTGCTATAGAAAGCTACCCAAGAAGAACCTCCGTTATCCGCGTCGCACCAAGCTTCCTCCTGACTTTGGTGTCAACTTATTCTTGCAGAAGCCTAGAACTGAAACCGACACCGCCACTGACACTCAACAAATGGATTCAATTCCCAGTCGCAGCAATGAAGAAGAAGAAGAAGAAGAAAAAGAAGAAAGTGAGGGGGAGGAGGAAGAAGTAGAAGATCAAGGCAATTATGTTGTTTGGGAATCAGATGAGGTCGAAGCAATATCGTCACTTTTTCAGGGAAGAATTCCTCAGAAGCCAGGAAAATTAGGCAGAGAGAGGCCTCTACCTCTCCCACTTCCTTACAAGCTACGGCCATTGGGATCTCCTACGCCAAAGAAACACGTTAAATTGACTTCTCCTGGGGTAATCTCTTCTCGAGCATCTGTATCAAAACGGTTATACAAGAGCCCAAGCTTTCTTATCGGCTTAGCCAGAGAGATTAAAGACCTTAATTCCGATAAAGATGTGTCTGCAGTTCTCGATAAGTGGGCTTGTTTTTTGCGCAAGGGTTCGTTGTCAATGACAATTCGGGAGTTGGGTCACATGGGTCTTCCACAACGAGCTCTGCAAACTTTCTGTTGGGCTCAGAAGCAGCCTCAATTATTCCCGGATGATAGGATTTTGACTTCAACTGTTGAGGTCTTGGCAAGGAACCGTGAACTAAAACTGCCAGTCAACTTGGAGAAGTTCGCTAGCTTGAGTAATCGGAGTCTGATTGAGGCGATGGTGAAAGGGTTCATCAAAGGTGGAAGCTTGAACCTTGCTTGGAAGCTTCTTTCAGTTGCTAAGCAAAGTAAAAGAATGCTGGATCCAAGCATTTATGCGAAGCTAATATTGGAGCTTGGTAAGAATCCAGATAAGCACACGCTTGTCGTGGACTTACTGGATGATCTCGGAGAAAGGGAGGATTTGAATTTAACCCAGCCGGACTGTACTGCCATCATGAAGATTTGCATTAGGCTTGGGAAATTCGAGACAGTGGAGAGCTTGTTTAACTGGTTCAAACAATCTGGGCGTGACACGACTGTGGTTATGTACACAACCCTGATTCATAGTCGTTATTCTGAGAAGAAATACAGGGAGGCATTAGCTCTGGTTTGGGAAATGGAGACCTCAAATTGTCTCCTTGATCTTCCTGCTTATCGTGTAGCAATAAAGGTTTTTGTTGCTCTGAATGATCTCTCCAGAGCTGTGAGATATTTTTCGAAACTGAAGGAAGCAGGTTTCTCTCCAACATATGACATCTATCGGGCCATGATTAGTATTTATATGGTTTCCGGGAGACTGGCCAAGTGTAAGGAGGTTTGCAAGGAGGCAGAGATGGCTGGATTTTCATTGGACAAACATACCTTAGCACAACTGTCACAACTTGAGAAAGAAATGAGGTTAGGTTTATGAATAGTAGGTGTTTGCTTCACCATTGTCATTAGTGTCTTTATATCCAATTTAAAGATCTAATCTTTTTAATTGTATATAGTGATTTGAATCCAATGAAGCTCAAGAAATAACACACATGCCCATGCCGGCAACCTGTGTTTTGGACATGATAGGATTTGAAAATGAAAAAACAAACCTACACCATACAGGGAGGTTCCATAAACCTTTTTAATTTTTCAGCATCCTGTGATTACCAGATGCATTTACCTAAGTGAAACTTACACCTTAAAAAGGAAGGTTCTGTAACTGGTATCATTCTAGTACTTAGGATTTTCAAATTGGACGACTTGTATTATTTTTTCCTCCTTGTTTCAGAGGATTTCTTGATCGAGACGATCTCTTTGAATGAGACTGGAAGTATTTATTGTGGTTGATTTCTTGGGTATTCAAGTTAAATGCTGTCAGTTTCTATCGAACGGCACCTTGTGCAGTGGCAATAGCATAGAGGATGATAAATCATGGTAATTGCCTGTGGAAGGAAATTTTGCAGTTGCCAAATGTAATTACTAGATACATGATCATCCATTGTTTTATTGATTGTGCCTTATCAGGCCTGCATCATTAAATTAGCCTAAGTACATAAGCTTAAAATTCTTAATAGCACACAAAAATAGATAAAAGTTGTGACGATTATATCTCCTCTTTTTAGAAAGGATGGTTTACCACCTCAATCTGCTTGACCTTCTGGATATGATAATTGATGGTTCTCTCTTTCCACACATCCTTTTCAAGATATTTCTCGTAAAAAGCAACTTCCCCGCTCGCATGTATGGTCAATGCCGCGGTGCTCCTTGTGCCATAAAGCCCCTGTATTCCAGAAAACAGATGGATAAGTAAAACTACCCAAATTTGCACATTTTGAGTAGAATGTATAGTTGAAATTTTTACCAATGGGGTGTCCACTTCGACAAATATGGAGCTAAGATTGAACTCCCAGTCAAGAGCACAAATCCCAGGTAACTTGCTTTTATCAGCTTTAACTTTGTCCTTCATAAGTTTTTCAACCATCTCTTTCATGGTGACTTCATTTTTACCATGTTTATTGAGCATTTGTTTGAAGTTTTTACCCAGCCGCTGAGTCTGCATGCAGAGTGGGGAAGAAAAGGATCAACACTCTCATTGTTGTTTTCTACGTAAAATGATATGTATAATATCTACCTTATGCCAGGGTGAGTCGAGCTTCGCATTTGAAAGAACGTGAAGGCCTGGAGAAACCTGTTGGATGCTAACGGCCTCCCCCTTTGGTCTATTGGAGGCATAAACCATTGATTTGGCAGGGATGTCAGCCAATATCAGGTTAAATCCGTTGTACTGATGAGCCTCTTTCACTAGTTCCTCTGCAAATTCCTTGGGGCTCTTTGCGCTCTGAAATAACAAAGACCGCATTGAATTTATGCAACCCCTTTTTTTGTCAGGTGAACTTGAACAAACCTCACAAAGATTGCATTACCTCCAAGAAAAGTACAGGAAGATCCCCGCGGCTCTTTGCTTCAGGGAGGGTATGAAGCTCCAACACATTGGTAAGAAAAGCTACCCTGCCTTGTCTTGAACATGCCAACCATGTCCCTCCTGCAACCTCATCTCTTCCTCCCAAAATCCCACTACCATCATCCCACCATGCCACTGGCGTTGTAGGCCTTGAAAGAATACCATAATAAATCCCCATCGATTAACAAGACATGTTAAACAAAGAAAAAAAAAAAAGAAGAAGAGAATTCAGGTGAAATGACAACTTGCCTGTTGTGGTATTCATCTCTGTTTTGTAGCAGGAGAAGAGGATAGAGCGGATGAGCTTGCCAAACAAAGGCAGCAATACACATGGTTCCTATTCCCAAAGAAAAGAGAATTCAATTCAAGGATTTGGCCTGTTCTAAAACTCAAAAACGATGGAAGAATGTCAAATGAGCAGAGAAGAGAAGCCAGACTATAACTGCATTTTGCATGAAGTTTGCTTTTGACAATTGTCAGGGTCGGCCTGACTGTATATATACACATACACACTCTGCATCACCCTGTCTTTATCCTTTCTCCTTTCGCCCTTTTCATTTTTTATTTTTCGGATAACAATATGGAAAGGACACTGTCAAACTGATACACGTAGGTGGTTCAAAGAAACAAGTGGCCGAACCCAACAATGGTTGCTTGTTGATAAGGATGTTAAATGGTTAAAGATCCCCTGGAAAAACCTTTCTGCTTCAAGGATACAAATCTTTAACTGGCCGCCAAAGCTGTAACATCTATACTACTTATTAGTTCTTTTTCTTTCTTTTTTCCTTTTTTTTTTTGTTTACAGATTTTAAAATTTTCTTCCTTTAGTATTTCTTATGCCCTTTTAGGTTTTGTGACATAAGATTTTTTCCTAAACCATATAAAGTAATACAGGAAGATTAGATAGGTTGGAAACATTAATTGGCGTAAAATAATTGATCGAAACGGAATGAATTTTAATATTATTAATAGTAAAAATTAACCGAGATGAATTTTACAATATAATTTAATTGATTTCGAATTAATTTTTATAACAGTTCAATTAATTTGATTTTTAAAATTTTAAAATTAACTCGATTTATTACTCGTCCTTAAAAAGCATACGTAGAGGATGACATTAAATAATATTGATAAAGATCAAAGTTTGGAACATTAGTATGATTGAAATTATTATGACATTGTTACAACAGGAAGAGTGAAGAGAAAGGAATAATATTTCCTCCAATCAAATTCCACAGTTAGCATTACGAAGCTCTTAACTACATCTTTAATGGTTTTACACGTGTGACGGCATTTAAGAGTGAGCAGGTGACCGGCTTCGTAGGTAGTGGGTAGTAAATACAAACCCAGCTCTACAAAAGCTATAGCTATTCGGCCGCAGCAGAGGAGTCGTACTATTTTATTTATAGTGTTTTTTTTTTCTCAGTTATTTTTTTTATAAAAAATTATAAATATTAAAATAAAAATTCTAATTCTGATATATTGTATATTAAAATTTAAATTTTTTATGATATAAATATTTGATACTTTTCATTATAAAAAGTCTAAAAAATAATTATTTAAAATATTTCAAAAAACTGAGAACAATGTAGTAAGTAGGCTAACAGCGTGCACTCTCTATTTAGAAACCGTAGGCGCCGCCATTGTGAAAATAGGAGCTTTGTTTGCGTGCTGAACTGAATTAGACAATTAGTCCACAATTTGTTCATGTTTATCGAGGATTAATTTTTAATTAAAACAAAAGTTTATTTTGGTATAAATTAAAAAAAAAATAACTCATTTAAATATAGTAAAAATTAAGAATTTAATTAAAAAATAATACTAAGGGTTTTCATAGAAGCCTTTTTATTTTATGGGAAATGAGGATAAAAAAAAGTAATTAATTATGGGAATTAATTACTCGAACCTCAGCAATAGCTGCCAACCGTTTTGGAGGCTTATGAATTGTACCTTAATTTGGCAGGGTGGCGTAAGAGCTAGTGACTAGAGGTACGTCCGCGTCTTATCTTTCTATGATCTGTCTATTATTTTATATTTACATAATAGCCATTTTACCTTTTAAAGTAAAAAAATTGATTCAATGATTATTTTTTTTTCGGCCACAATCCTAATTCAATGTCCCTAACATTCTCATTGGCATTTGAATTTGGTAGACATTGAAACCTTGTTTTGCCTTTTACGTTTCCGGTCTTTTATGCCATTTCTATGTTATAATAAATAAATATCTATATATATATAGTAAAAAGTGTCCAAAAAAAAGTATTAAGTTAAATATATTTGAATTTCAACAATATTTTAGATTTTGATGTATATTAAAATTTTTTAAAAAAATTTTAAATATAGATGTTCAATATTTTTAAAAGAAAAATAATAAAATAATGAATAAATAATTTTATTAATATAAAAAAAGTAAGAGTTTTAGGGGTTTTAAAAAAGGACACAGATGGAATATGCTTTTCTTAATTATTTTTTTGTTTTATGATTGCAAGTGTATGGTTGGTTATGTTCATTTATTATGAAACATTTTTCTTTTATTGAAAATATACTCATATTAGCTAATGAGCTCAAATTAAATTTTGTTAGTGTAATAAAGTTGAACTTGAATTTAGCCATCTTTAAAAGCTAGCTAGCTTAAGATTGAAACAAATTCTGTTCAACTTCTACCTTAGTTCCATTCATTTATAAGGAATCAACCCCTTATTAAAAAATATTGCTAAAGGTTTATATATACATATATATATATATATGTATATATAAAGATTGAACCCCATATCATGAAGTGCTAACCCCAACTTTCAATTTGATCCCATTTGTTTATTTCTTTATTTAAAGATAAATAAAGTACATTGATGTGGACATTCTCAAATTCAACATGCTGCAAAAACTAAATGCACAAGCTAACAGGGATGACTAGAATCAAATCAGATTAATTATTCACTCAAATTAAATGTAATTTAAGTAAAATGATTCAATCTAATTAGTCCATTGAATCAAATAGTTCAAAATGTTTGGTTTAATTAATTTTTTTCTCAATTCTCGATTTTAAAATTTTTAGACCAATCAATTCAAAAAACTAAATTAATTTTTTTATATATAAATATATATTATTTATATATATGTAAATATATATTATTTTTTTATATATTAAGAAGAATTGATGGTGAACTTAATTAAAAATATACTTAAAATATATTAGTTTATTATATATACGTACACAAATTATAATCATATCAATTTAATTTTAGTTATATATATTTATTTATAAATTTGTATTAATCTGAAATTATAAGATATATTTTCAATGATATAACTTATATGTTAATATTATAAAATATAACAGTAAATATCCTACATATTAATATATTATAATTATTACATTTTAATAATATTTTGTAACATAAAATGTTATGAATATGCATCTAATTGTATACATATTATTTATATATTTAATTTATATATAAGCATTACTATAATTTGTAATAAACTTTACTTATATGATTACATTTGGTAACCTTATTAATTATCACCTTGGTTATTATAACATATTATTTATAATTAGTTATTATTTATACTTGATATAAAACATTATAACATATAACTTATGTTATTAATTATATATATAATAAAGTAATATATGATATATACATATATTTAATTGATACATAAGCATTACTGTAACTTCTAATAGATTTTATATATATGATTACACTTAATAATGTTATTAGTTATTGCCTTAATTTTTATAACATATCGTTTATAATTAGTTATTATTTATATAAAATTTTTATATAAAAATTAAAATATTATAACATATAAATTGTGTCATTAATTTCAAATATATAATGAAAAAATATTATATCTATACATATATTTAATTTATACATAATTTATCTATTTTATAATTATGGATGAAGTTTATAAGTTTTAGG